TCCTGGCTTTCAATTGTATTTCATTACGAAGGGAACGTCACTTTTATGATAATTACAGTACAGAAATAGCAAATAATTCTAGACGGCAAATAGCTTCAAAGTATCAATGTCTATACACATCCTTCGATTGGAAAGCATTTGAAGGGTTAGCTCATATCTTCAATAGAAGCTGCTTTCATTGATCGCTCAGCAAGAAATTTCCTTTAATTGCATTAAATTACATCGCAGAACCGTCATAACTTTTTGCATGAAATTTTAGTTAGCATCCTCGAACCTCAATGACACATCAGCATTCAACGAAAGCGTTCAATTTGCCCAAGCAACACCAAAACAATAAAAATCGGTAACCCTTTCAACAGACAAAAGTTGAACGTTGGTGGCGGAGGGAGTGAGTCGCTTGGAACAATTCTTAGGCTGTCTCTTTCTCGACTAAGCCAAAGCACTTTTCTCTCCCTTTCCGCTTATTTGAGCGTGCACACGCTGGCGTAAGAGCAAGAGGGAAAGCGTTACGTATAATCTTAATGCAGTCTTATGCGAAGCGGAACGAAGGCTATATTTCATTATAACCCCGCAGCCCTTTCTAGGCTCACTACTAACCCTTTCCATTTGGGCTAGATATTGAGAGAGGATCGGGGGCGATATCCAAAAGCGAAGAGGGACTCCTTTCCTGAGCCCACTCTGATACTCTCCGCAGTGCGAAGGTGGAGAGGGGGTCGAAGAAATTATCTCGGCAGGACAGGCGCAAAAGAAGAATGCTAAGAGTATATCTACGGAGGGAGATATGAGCGTGAGTTTAGCGCCAGCACAGTGGGATATCGCGATTGGCGTGGCGAACCTTCCTGTGTTCTCCCAGATGATTTTCCATGCTCGCGCAGTGAGATATTACCCTCTGCGTTAAATCCCTGTCCTCCCGAAGAAATCTCGAGATACGAAGGACTGAGTTAGTCTTTGAAGTTTCATCTTAGCTATCGCTCAAACGAAGCCCGTTATCGTACAGGTAATATTCGAGTTAATGGCTTGCCTGACCACGTACTTTACTTATTCTACTTTAAATATAATTACAATCGTGTGACTATAAATAACAAATTCTAATATATTTTTTTAAATAAATACTCACGGAAGCCGCAGACATTATTTTAGGGATGATTTAAATGGCAATTATTAAATTTAATGCATGCTTCATTTCGCCGGGACATGCGTAAATTAGACTCCGAAAGCAAAGTTGCACCCGCATCAGTCTTCACTCGTCCTACCTAGCGTACTACGCGCGACATACAGGTCTCCGCGTTTTGCGGTTGGCCGAACGCTAGCTTCGCACAATTTTAAGCTCGTACAACATGCACTCTCCGTACATTCGGCCATCTCAAACTATACACTAATATACTCATGTTATACCGAATATCCACGTGATTTATCACTTTGCTTTCCACGCAATAACAAAAACTTTCAATAACGTGCAAAGTTTCAAATTCGATCTAATGTTGGTTATATCAAAATCATTCGAATTAATTTCTTTTCTTAATCGCTTTTTCACAAGTCTTTTATTTCGTTATATGTACAAGAAATACTCAAGAAAAGAGGAAAACTATTTTTTTAACACATGCCGGCCTTTTGAAAATACGCTGTCGCCTAACAATTGCAAGACTAATAGGTAATCAAATCGCAAAGACTACTTTTTAAACTATTTTCACTATCACTCTATTCACTATTCACTATTAACTGGAAGACCAATATAAAATATATATATATATATATATAATGAAAGCGATCCTGAAAATTAAGAACTGTAGGGATCAAAAGACATCAATGATTTTTAAAGTCATTTTTAATCTTTATGATTAACGTAACATAGTACAAACAAATGGCATGCCGTCTTTATTGCGAAAGACTGTTGGTGTGGGTCATGCCGGGCTTGCAGCCAGTTTTACATTTGTTGCGGACCCCTGCAACGGAGTCTCCTTTATCGTATACTGTGATAGGATTGCAGAGCGTCAACGCACGCTTGATAAACCATTGATTTTATTCTTCCGAATAATCAAGTCTCGCAAGTTGCAAACACGCGTGACAAAAAGTCACGCATATATGTTAGCCTGGAATCTCATCGTAAGTATTAGCACATGACTCGGCAAACTCGCACGTCAGCTCGTCGAGTTATTGGCTTCTGCCTTTTCCACGTCCTAATGCACTTTGCATCTGTTCTGTTAATTGTTTTTTTTTTTCAATTTTTCGTAAATATACAATAAATTTAATTTATGTACTATTTAGTTTTCGTACGTTTTTAATTATTTTTGTATTCATTGTGAATTATTAACATCTTAAAAAAAAGAATATTTACGTTATTTATTAAATAATAAACACTAGAAAATCCATCAATTATATTGATAGATTATTTTTTCAAAACTTTAGTAGACGAAGAACTTTTTACAAAAGATGTTAATACAACTACTATATTTTGTTTAATTTAATATTCTGTTTTATAATACAGTTTTGGAATATAAATGAAGATAATCACTATGCTGGCTAACCTCTCTAATTAAACACATAATTAATTATATAATTATCGTTATGTTTGTTCACTGAGCACAACAAAAAATTATTTAAAATAAATCAAGAAATATAATTTGATTAGTATATTCTTTTAGCTACGTCATCAACTGATATAGCCTAAAGACTATTGAGAACCTTTGTTTAAATAATACAAGACTTTCGTGTGTCTTCGCTTCAACATTTTTCACTGATAAATTCCGAAGCGCAATTTTAGGAAACTGTTTGTTATCGTAGACCTTCAATTTCCAGAATAAATTCTTTTCTGATAAGTAACAAAACTATTTGCTTACAAATACTTCCTTTTCATTAAAAGACAAATGATTTCACAATACATATGGTCTTACTGTAAGTAAAGCATTCTTCATCTACCAGTCAATATTTACAAGTAGTAGTACTGCCTTACAATAAACGCTAAACTAATATTATAAGAATTATAAAAGCCACCGCACATATATCTCAATTACGAAAACGTCACATGCGAGAAAATTACTTAAAATAGGGAAAAAAACACGGTTTATGAAAGCTTTTCTCAATATTTTAAATAAAGTGATTCTATAATTTTGTAACTAAATAGAATAGATATTACAAATGTTATTCCATCTACTAAACATACCAACCAAAAAAGCGAACAAGAGAAAATTATTTTGAATGACCGCTATTTGATGCTTCATTTGAGGAAGGATAAAAACATTGAATGGAAATATGAAAAGCAGTGAAGCAGTGGACGCGTATGAAGCGAAGGAAAAAGATAAAATTGAAGCGTCCGTGGTGTAGTGAAAGCCCAGTAGACAAGATAGGAGGTCATCGCGGGTAAAATCCATGTAGGTTGCATGCGCTTTTGCCCGCGGCTGGGCCAGATTTTCGGGCAGCGGCGGAGCGAAGTCGCTGAGCAAGCTCTCGACTCTATACAGCAATCAAGCTCCGCTGCAGCATGGAGTTCTCCTCGCCGCTGGGCAGTGGTGGCGGCGGCGGCGGCGGCGGCGGCGTCGGCAGCAGCGTTTTAAGCCGAGAGTGCTGCGCCGGATGGACGGACGGACGGACGGACGAACGGAGAAAATGGTCATGACGTTACGGGGTACTCGCTCGCTCCAGGAGTTGCCTGAATGAAGGCAGCGCGCTCGTATTTACGACGTTACAATGCCCCAAGGGCTCGACCCTACGAGAAACCTCCTGAGAGAGAGTCTCTGCGCGAGCAAGCAAGCGCGTATGCGTGTATGTACTTGCTCTTTGCCTATTTAGATGTAGCACCCAACCCATACGCCCCGCTGCCACCGCCGCCGCCGTAACGACCGTCTAAAACTCGCGTTTTTCACGCCCAAGCAACAACAAGAGGATGAGGTTGCGCCTCGGAGTTTCTTATAGTTTCCGTGTCCCAAGCGTACGTTCCGATGTGAGCTGTTAGATATCGTATCCGGCATTGCACCCTAACGTACTTTATTTTGATGAGCCTGACAATGAGCTTTGAATTGGCATTTTTACTTCGGATAAATTTTACTGATTTTTCTTTATTTTTTTCTCGGCAAGCGACTTTCACATACATAGATAAAACTTCCGGTTGATCATCAAGTTAAATCTAAAATCAACATAAATATCATCAACCATTTATTATCACAATTTGTAAGTTGGCCTTTGCAAAGCCTTCAATAACAAACCTTTTAATTTACACAATTACTTTTATTGGATATGAGGATATTTCGATATGAATTGAAATGTAACTAACGTTACAAACTGATTCATTTCAACTATATTTCTTAATCCTGAAGCATGCATGTATTTAACCATTAATAAATATTGTTATATCGCTCAAAGGCGTCGTCTTATAGTTTTCTTTATTCCAAGGACTTTAAGTTCATTTTTCAAATTTGTAGAATGACACTATGCTGCCTAAGTATACCCATGCATATTAACTGCGATTTCTATTTTCGTTAAATATTTTTAGAAAAAATATTACATACTTCATTTAAAAACTTTTCGCATACAAATCTATTTTTTACTCTAGTTATTAGAATACTATACTTTCGCGATGTAACAATATTAGTCTAATAAATATTTTAGCTTTAGTCTCGAAACAAATTATACAATATTTTATCTTTTCCAGCAATAGATGAATTGTTTCATTTCAGGATTTTTGTGCTTATCAGTCGCAATATTGTTTACTGAAGCGAAAAATAAATTTCCTACTATGGTAGTATTTCTGTTAATCCTATTGGGTCTTTGAATAATACGAAGCTCAAAAATAGTTTAACTAATAAACCTATTTAATTAAATATTAACTATATTCGTCAACTTAATAGTCAGACAAACAATACTGCAATAGCAAAATTATCTCAACATAACTAATAACACTGTCGCCATGCAACATTCTACATCAACTTCAACTCAAGTATCTAATCCTCCTATCTAGAGATATATTTATTTAAACGACTTATCTTCGATTTAATAATATTAGAATCATGGCCATCACCGTGGTTATAGCTATAATCATAATCATAAATATCACTATGGTCACAATCGCAAACATGCTCGCTGTAACCGTCACAGCTATTAGCATATCCACGATGTTTTGTAAGTATCATCACAAGCACAATAATGACTTTAGCCGTCATCATTATTATAAACTTAAGGTCATCGTCACCATCACCAAGAATACGATTATAAAAATAAGCTTGAGTACAGGCTCCAAAATCACGAAGGATATCATCACAAATTTGGCCACCATTATCATTCGGAGTATCACGAGGAACATAAGCACGAGTGCCATCGTCACCACGACCACAAGCACAAAAATGACTACAACCATTAATACAAACACGATCAACACGACCATAATTATATTTAGACCCGGTTATCGTCGTCGTAAACTCGGCCACAAACATCATTACCGGATCATACAAATATTTCATGACTATTTCTATGTCATCACATTGACAAAAGCATGGAAATCGCCCGGAAAAGCAGAGACTTGGACCACATTACAAGCGAAGTCACTATCATAACTATAAGCATTCATAGATAATTTTGGTAGTGATTTCGTTTCTTTCATTAAAAATTACCATTTTTAGAGACATGAAAGATTAATAACAGCTGTAGTAATAATAGCCAATTATTTTATATGAAAAGCGTCACCTGAGTGAAGACTGCAATACTCTGTGAAGCTTAAAGTTTTTGCAATTATATTCAGTATTGTTCGATCAATAGTACAAAGTAATCATGATACACTTCGTATCATTAATTCTGATTGATTTGGATATTTTAATAGCTATTAAAATGAAACGGGTCCTTGAACTGTTTAAAAGCATTATCCGACATTTATCTTTTTATTTTTAAATTTAAAAAACCAACATACCATAATCTAAGTGATAACTTTGAGATTTGGGAATACTAAAAATTTTCTATCGGCCAGTTAAGCTTTTCTACTATCAATATGTAGATTAATAGCTGTCCTTTGCCCTCATATACGCATCTATTCATTATATTAAAATTTATTACTAAAATTAATAAAATATTGCACGTTCTTGAGTACAGTTTTACTAATTTCTAAATAATGTCACTTAAAGCCGGTTAAAGAACTGATGCGTGTAAATGCTCTCATTCCTGTAGTCCTAATTTCAAATCAAATGAATAGAATATACAAAAAGTACAACCAAAGGTCACTCGGCATGCATATGTAAGCAATTCGAAATATACAAGCAATGAAAACAGTCAATGCCGAGTAAAAGGTGACAGTAAGTATTATATAAATCTCTGTAAGCGGATTAGACCGTCTGGTTTTACGCTATTTTAACTAAGCGTGTTCTACTATCTTAGCCGGATTAGCCTGACCTTAAACAGATTTTTTTCTCACTGGGGTTCTCGTAGAACTTTTTTTTTTGATGTCTCGAATGATGCGTTAGATATTTTCTAATAGATTTCATGCCTTCGACGTAAGAAAATAAGCTTTTCTTTGTTTAAAGTATATGAGTACTTCTCGATGAAAATTTTCGACAGTCAACTTATATTTGTCGTGTTTATAAAACATACAGTCCGATGTATAGTATCATACCCAACAATCATCACAATACACAATAAATCAGGTGATTAGAAAAAACTATATCAATAAGAATGTATAGTTGACGAAGGCTCAAACAAGTAATGGAGCACTTTCTGTTGAGCAACACGCAAACTTTGAGCGCTTTAAACTTTCATCCATCGGCAATAAAGGCGGACTATTATCCTCTGCAATTGATCCCCTATTCTGGTGCACCGACAGTGAGTCACCATTAATGTATAATCCTGCAAGCTCGAGAAAAATCGTTGCCGTTATGGTAAATAACATTGGTCTACAGTGGGCTTTACCGACCGAGTGAACTTGCGGGGTACATGTTGAAAGGAAGCTTCAACTTTGCTGAATTTACCTACAGAAACTAACGCGGACGCGATAGTATCCTTTGATCGCATTTACATAATTCAAAATGAGAAAGTTTTATGACTTCAATATAAGTTTGATTTTATTTACGAATTTGATTTCCTATTATTTGATACTCAAAGTTTAGTTCAAAATCACAAAAATGAAACTAATGAATATTTTAGTTGATATTCTTTTCTGTACAGCTAATTACACATCTCTGGTAAATTTTGAAAATAAACTTAACCATTGAATAGTACATTTATTTAAATACAAAATGGCGATCATGCGCTTCACCTGTATCTATCTACTAATACTAACAGCCTTGAGCACTCCGACCCTTGACGAGAAAATTAAAAACAAATACTCTCTCTAATTTCGTTAACTTAGGCCATCAGAATTAAAGAAAAATAAATTAAAAGTTTTCAGACAAACAGCGGTTTTATGATGTATGTATTATACGTATTATCGGACATGTTGATTTTTTTGAAACTAAAATAAGTTGACGTAAAGCGAGGAAGGCAGAGAAATCTGGGTAGGCAGCTTTTTATTTTCTCTGATGGAGAGTTAAACCATGACGCAGGTTAAAGCTAAATATCATACAGGAGTATTTGAGAATTTTCATGTCTTGTTTAATTTGCGAAGCAGCAGAATAATCTAACCGATTAATGTCCTATATTTCACCCGAGTACTGAATAAACCTATATATATCGTGGTTCTCTTTAATTGAACTCTATAGTTTATCTGTCCATCATTCGTATTTTCATGAAGCAAACAAAACGACTAAAAATATGAAAAAACCAATGGAATAAAATTCAACAGGATTGCCCGATCATCCAATAACCTTGTTAAAATAAGTCACTGAATATCATATTACCAGCCAAACTAAATTACACCGTGGACGTTCATAAATTGTTTCCGCGATAAAATCTCTCTGGCTAGGATAAGGCCGCTCAAGTTTACGAGCTTATGCGATCTACGTATGAGTGCAATCCGTTTTCTCTCCCTCTTCCACGGATAGCAACACCAACCTTCTCTCTTTCGCTTTCCTCTCCTTCATTCTCAATTCTGAGCATCATGTTTATTTTATGCGGCTGGATATATCTATTACGATTTTCCGCGATATATTTTTACGTATAAGAGTTCGATCTCGCAATACGGTATTTATATCGCGTGTAGATCAATGTTATCACTTGCTTTTATTTATTTGATAAATTGATGTAAATTATGGTTGATCCTACTCAAGCGAATATTAATCTTGATAAATGATTCATACTTATGCACTTGCGAATATTAGTATCACTAGCAATTGCTGATTGTAGTGCACTCAGAATATTTAACCATTCAACTCAATCCGATAAGTTAATTTAACTTAATATGTAAAGCAAATATGATGAGAGCTTTCATTCCATAAAATCACAACAGATACTTGTTTTGGAACAACAAAAAGCGTTGATTAAGGATTTGAGTAAGCTCTAGTTCTCTACTACAGTTTTAATCAGAAAAGAGAGTGCGACAAACAGACAGGTCTTAGACAGAGCTCAGAATTGAGGTTGAAAAGCGCGGCTACACGCCCCGAGAGCTGCGAAAGGGCACAAGAAATGGCCACTTGTGACCGCTATATACAATGCTAGGTAAACTAGCATGCGTGCCGGTTAAAAGGGACTAAACCAGACAGCTTAATTAGTGGGATTCTATACTGTCTCTAGTTTTTTATACTTTTATTATTTGTAATATTTAAAATTTTGAATAATTATTTTTTTTACAATAAGTAGTTTTTACGAGACATTGTTATACTACTTTTCATATTGAGTTTATGAAAAAAAAAAATATACTTACTCCGCATTTGTTTTCCAAAACTATTTCATTTTATTTCTGCCTGCCACTTTATCAAAGTATTTCTTCGTTGTTATTAAAATTCAAACTTTTAAAACGCGTTCTCGATCAAGTTTCAGTTTATTTGCCTGAACTCTTACCAAACAGGATAATTAAATTCAAAATGTTAATTGTTTTACATTTCGATTAATTGATTAATAAAAGACTGGAATTCATTGGCATTTAAATTCCTACTATAAATCTAATTTATGCACCGACATAAATTTTGCAGCTGACAACTTTAATGAGCTTGGCAACTTCAAAGTGGCTTGCCGAAGAAGTGATAACTTTCAAGCCGATAGTATATGCACAACAGTATGTGTATTCCGTAAATAATTTTTAACTTACAGGCAACGTAAACAATAGAATTGGAAATTGATTGGAATATGAAGAAAACGACTAAACATTGCAAGTATGAAAATGAGAAAGAGTGCAGGATGATTTCCATTAGCTTGATCAACGTACGCGCAAGTAGTACGAGTCAAGTGCTGCGGAGCCAGCTTTCAATTCAACGCATGAGCACGAGCGCGGTACTGCTGAAGCGCGCATTACCGCTCGCGAAAACAATGAACGCGTCAGCGAATAGAAAGTATCGTCTGCAGGAAAGAGGGTCGCAAAGTGAATGCGAAGGGTGAAGCGCGTAAACAAGATTGTTTTCCGTGATTGAGAGGATGCCCGATAGCTTCAAAAGTGTTAACTGGCGCTCGGGAACTCCCGCTTCATTTGATTAACGCGCGAACGCACGCAACGCAATTTTTTTTTTACCAAATAACCATTTTCTTTTGACCGGATAAACAATGAAAATGCAACGGTCAGTCGAGCAGGGAGAAAAGCGAATCGATTATTCGTGTATTTGCTGGATGCACACCAAATTTGGATAAATCAAGAGTATCACGGAAGAGGTCTATCATCCGCGGGCTGTCGTTGTAATCGATATAATACTCGCTCGGAGCCGGCAGCGAGCGAGGAAGCGGATAAAAGAGCGCGTTTCGTGGCCGAGAAGTTGGAATTAAAACGGATTGTCGTCCACGAGTACGAGCGCGAGGAAAAATCGGTTGGAAACTTTGGCAAGAGGGTGGGCGCGCTTGTCAAACTTCTTGCCAACTTTCATACTTGTACGTGTAAAACTGCTGTAACGACTGCCAGCGCACACTGTTTTTTCGCGATTTTACGTGTTTTATTCGTTATTGGCTCGCAATACCGTGTGTCGATCGATCCAACGCGCAATCACGTTAACGCTCGAACGGTGCAGCTCTGGTTGTTTACGTGCACGATGCGCGCTCACGTGGTGCGCGCGCAGAAAGCGCGAGCGGCACACGCGAGCAGCCGAGGCGGCCGCTTAGCGGCTACTGCTGGCGAAGAGCTTCAGCCCCAGACTCTATACTACTCCCTCTCTCTCTCTCTCTCTCTCTCTCTCATACTCTCTATCTCTCTTGTTCTTTCGCTTTCTCGCTTGCTCTCTGTTCTTGGCTTATAAAGTTTGTTTCTGCCGCCTGTAAGAGACTCTTTCTGCCGATCATTTTTAAATGGCCTTAGTTTGTTCTTCGAGTTTTATCGCGAGGCTATATCCTCCCTCCCCCTCTTACTCTTCTCTCTCTCTCTCTCTCTCTCTCTCTCTCTCTCTCTCTCTCTCTCTCTCTCTCTCTCTCTCTCTCTGCGCTTCGCTCTTTTTTCATTCACCAAGAAATGAGAGTTTGGTATGATTAGCGCCCAGTTGCAAAGTTCGAATGGGGGAATGCTAATTATTCAGATTTGAATACGTTGATTGGATTTCTTGCTCTTTTCCTTCTTCTTTTTTATTTCATGATAATAAAAAAAAGTTTGTGGTTCGTGGCCTTCTTTGTGTGACTGATGTAGAATTTTCATCTGGCGAATCTCATTTCTGTTTCGCGAAGTAAATATTTATTGGAACAAAAAAAAAACAAAAAAATGGGTTATGACATATGCAATGAAAATGCCAATATTTAATTGATTTCTTATAAACCTGTTAGCATGGTGAAAATATTTTGGAAAAAAGAATGAAAATGATATTATTGAAATCTGAAAGAATTCGAGAAAATAAGTAGCCTAACAGGTTTATTTATATCAATTAAAATCGATAAATCCAATGCATAAGCGCATTTTGTCTACTCGTAACTATCTTATCCTCATTCACCTTGTCATATATATTTACCCCGAATTATTTTCGCGACATAATCCTTTCGCCTAGTTGCGTTTTTCTTATTTTATCTTTTGCACGCGACTGAGCTTTAACTATACACACACACACACACACACACACACTTATGTGTGTTAGCTTGCTTTGTCTCGATGCCGCCGCCGCGAAAGTTGGCGCACCCCTCGGCCCGCCTTTCTCTTTTCCATTCTTCGCGAAAACTTTCTTTCCACTTTCCCCCTCGTTGAACGCTTTAACTCCGCAAGCTCTCCCTCGAAAAACTTACGATGGCACGAACTCGACTAACTCGATATTTGATTATTTTTTCTTTGGATATATTTTTTATCAATATGCCAATTCGTAGGTGCATCAGATTGTCCGACATCAACTGTTATTGTCAAAATAATTATCCGAATATTCATTGTTAACTTAAAATTTGTTTCAATAACTGATCGAATATACATTAATAAACAATCTCCGAGCTGTATTACTTGTACATCAAGAAATACATGTGCAAGTAATAAATATACTTTTCGAACCATGGATTTCTATCTCACAAGATACGAAATTTACTTAATCAAGTGATAAATCAAGTTTACAAAAATAATTTTAAGTACTGCTTAATTTAACCCGTCTTCTTTAATTTTGAGTAAAGCCTACTTGTTATTCTCCAATTCGACGTTATTAATTCATTTTGTATGCATAAAACCATAATCAAAGCTTCACATAAACAGAATAGATATGCTCTATTCCAAGAATTGTTTCCTATTTCTACATAGATAAATTAGTGCCATTATAATAATTGAATATATAAAAAAATAATTATCAAAAAAATGATAATGGCTGTGCGTGGTCTGAAACGAAAATAAGATGTCAAACAATTATCCCTGTTTAAAATACTATTTATTTGATTCGGTCCAACAACAGCGTTCTACAAAGTGGTAAAACAACTTCTTACCTGAATAATAAATCTGTTGACGCAACTGTATACATTTGCGCAACAATAAAAATATAATTTTACGATAACCCAACGATAATCGAAAACTTTATCGTTTAATAAAGCTCTTATCTTGCAAAAGCATAATCCGCTGATAGTTGTCACCTCCACAGGTTGATAAACGACAAGGAAAACATGCTACAAATTGGCTAAACGAACGGAGCACAACAGAGAGCAGACAGCGCGCCACGAGTAAAGAACTCCGTTTCCAATGCGCATGAGCGAGTCAAGTAGTTGCCTTCTGCAAGTGTAAGTGAGACAAAACACAACGCAGAATATCCATACGGTATTCACGAGCGTAAAAAGAGGAAAAAAAGAGATAGTAGTACGTCGCGGCAGTGATGGTGCAGTGGTGTGTGAGCAAGACCGAGACATAAGATACGAAGAGGCGTACTCGTGCGTCAGAGTATAGGAAAGCAATATGCTGTTCGGATGTGAAAGCCAGTAACGTCATTAGCACCACAGGCTCTCTCGATTTACCGCGACGCAAAAGACTTCCACGAGAGTAGGCTACAAGAAACAACAAACAAAACGTATAAGACGCTTTAACGAATCAGCAGGACGGTGTTGACAAAGAGTCATGGAGGTGCTAGATCCCAGCGTCTCCAGGGACGATCATCCACTTTGTCTTAATGACACTCTACAGAAAGGTAAATCTTTCATTCTGCTGCTATGCTCTCAGTGTTTATTTATGTTGACGCATACTAACATTGACACCTACAACATCAATTTGTACTCCTCTTCATATATTTATATTCAGTCAAGATAATTTTTTGAGGACCTACTATAAAACTAAACATGTTCTAAAAAAAGAAATATTCATATTCAATTGCTACCATTGTCGTAATCAGGTTTCTTCTGTTCACGGGCGTGTTGTCAGTGTATAGGTACCTTTGTTGGAGAGTCTCTGACTAACAGTAACGGAATGACACAATACTATATATAATAATAATGGTAAATGCTGTAATTAAGCATTAATTCTTTCATATAGGGTGATGACACGAAATAAATTCAAGCGAATTTATATTTTTTATACACTATAAAGTAATGTTTTGACTTTTTTATATCCTTGCTTGTACAACTTTACTTTTTCTAAAACCTGTTATTAACGTACAATCGCTAATAACGCAGTAATTATTGCTCTCGAAAAAGCTATCAAAGAATAGTACAAAGTGATATGTGACTATATATAGACATACTTCTAGGACTGTAGTACTCTATAATTTTTATTTAAACAAATGTTATATGTAATCTAATATTTGTCAATTACAAATATCAGTTTTAAGATTGTCATCTCTTCAATTGCATACTGATAAATTCAAATTACAGTTAACTTTATATCATTTTTTACAATACTGTAAAAAAAATGAAATTCCTGTTTTATCACCAAAGCTTTGGTTATTTTTTTAGTATTAGTATTATAAATAAAATACATAAAATCAAGTACATAAATAAAATAGTGTACTATTCTTTTGAAATTAACTCAGAAATATCTTTGTACACTAGTACTGAAAAGACTTGAGTCAGTAACAGATAAAAATATGATTAATTGTTGATTTGCAACTGCTCTTTTTTTCAAAATACCTCTTATATCTTTTGAAATTTTTAAGCAAAGTCACTTATATAAATTGTTGGAGCTTGGCATGAGAACAAAGCTAGTATCAAAATGAAATTTAACGTTATTGAACTTGGGTTTTTTCTGAATATATCTGTGAAACTAGTGATGTAAGCAAACATGATATGAGCTGTAATAATCAGCTGCTTACGGAAGTTAAAATAAAAATGTACATATGAGTTGTAATCAACATTAACTTGTGTATGTTTCATCATTATCTCTTTGTATAAAACACAAAGCTAATTCTTTTTGAGTTGATTTTATATCAGAGCAATGATTTCTATATCTATTAACTAAAAATTATTATTGACTCATATATTAATATATGTTTTTATTATAGTTTATTCAACAGAAAATCCAATAAGAGATACATCATCATGCATAAAGGCAAGAAAAATTTTTGGATTTCTTGGTTTTCTTGGATTCGCACTAGTCTATTCAATGCGAGTAAATTTATCAGTAACTATTGTTGCAATGGTAAATAAAACCAATCCACATCATACCAATGCAAGTCTACATAATAATTGTTCAGAATATGCTCCTAGTCCTAATCAAACTATTATTCCAGTAAGTTGCTATGATGGTATTTTAAATAATCATATTTTTTACTTAATGTTAAGATCTTATTAATAATCTAATATAATTTTTTAGAGTAAAGGAAGCTTTGATTGGAATGACAAGGATCAAAGCATTATTCTTGGTGCATTTTTCCTGGGCTATGTTTTAACAAATGTACCAGGTGGAAGATTAGCTGAAAAAGTTGGTGGAAAATTAGTTTATGGATTAGGAGTATTCCTAACTTCAGTTCTCACAGTTATCAGTCCTTTTGCTGCTATGTGGGGTTTTTATCCTTTCTTGATCATTCGCATAGCAGAAGGTATCACTGAGGTAAATAATAATTTCTGCATATTTCAATTTTCTTATGCAGTTTTAATTGTATAATTGCATTTTTAATATATTTTCAGGGTGTTACCTTCCCTTCTATGCATAGTATGTTAGCACAATGGGTACCACCTTTAGAAAGAAGTAAATTTGCAGCTTTAGTTTATGCAGGTAAGTTAACACTATGTATAGAGTGCATTAAAGCAAATTAATGTGACACTATTTGCTAAATGATTTGTCTCTTACAGGTTCAAACTTTGGAACTGTAATTTCTATGCCACTGAGTGGTTGGTTATGCGACCAAGAACTGTGGGATGGCTGGCCCCTATCATTCTATTTATTTGGTGGTCTAGGAATTATTTGGTATGTCTTTTGGTTGCTATTTGTATTTGATACTCCTGCAAAGCATCCGCGAATCGATCCACAAGAAAGAGCATACATAGAGTCTCTAGTAGAGACCAAAAATGAGGTATATAAAACCAATTCGTTGAAATACTAAAATAAATGTGACCTCTAACAATATGTTTATAATAGGATAATAATGATAGCGTACCATGGCGATCAATATTAAGCTGTTTGCCACTGTGGGCAATAGCTATAACTCAATGTGGCCAGTCATGGGCTTTCTACACCCTTCTGACCAAATTGCCAACCTATATGAATGATATCTTGCGTTTAGACATAGAACAAGATGCATTCCTATCAGCTTTACCGTACTTGACGGCTTGGATCATGGGTTTGGTGATATCCGCTTTAGCAGACGCTTTGCTGGCTCGAAATCTTATTTCTCCATTAGCGTCGTTCAAATTTTGGAACAGCGTAGCCTCACTAGGACCCAGTCTCGGCTTTTTAGGAGTAATCTGGGCTGGATGTGATAGATTTACTGTGATGATGATGCTGTCAGGTTTAGGTTCTCTCTATGGTGCTGTTTACGCTGGAAATCAAATGAATCACATTGCTCTTGCACCTCGCTACGCGGGTACTTTGTATGGCATGACCAATGCTCTAGCGAACGCTTGTGGATTTTTAGCACCCTATGTTATCAGTTTGATCATCGGTGAACATGTAAGTTGCGTTTTGTAATTTATTACTTACGTGGACAATAGGTATGATGTTTTTTACGGTTATTTTTGCAGGAATCAATGGAAAGCTGGAACATAGTATTTATGCTTGCGGCAGCCATCAATTTGGGGGCAAATTGCTTCTATTTGTTGTTCGCTTCAGCAAAGGAGCAGTCTTGGAACCGAGGAAATAATTGATGACACGTATTTAATAAGAAAAAAAAGACACTTAATGTGATCAGCGACATGCCGTTGGATCGTCTTGCTCTCAGCACATTTTAGCTTATAACGTTTTGACAGCTTCATTCATTTTCTAAAACAATGTTGATTATTGTTTTTTTCTTATTCTGAAAACAATTAAAAATTGTTATATTTTGAAGAAAAAAATTGGTATAATTAGTATATCTATTTAAAAAGTATTGTTTTGTTTGAATGTTTGTTCAATCAAACGGTGATAACTTAGACAAAATATTTAGATTTAAGAAAATGATGCGAGTGCTGACAATACTATTATACACTATTATTTTCGTCGCATTAGCTCTCTTATTTTTTTCTATAAGTCTTTACAATATATGTCTTAAAATTTTACAATAACGTTATTTCAATTACGTTAATTACGTTTTATCTTAAAAAATTTTCTACGTTGTATGCTCAATTGCAAACATGGCCTTCCATCTATTTTTAATCTACTTTTTTACGTTTGTGATAATTTATCCACTTATTGGTTAATATAATATGTATTTACCGTTACATATTTGGTGAACGGTATGTTTTAGAAAAATGTAAAGGTGTTAAAGACTCTCAAACTCTATACTCATAGTCTACATCTAAAGAAAAATGCGAAATTATGTTACAAAAAATTTATATGAAAATATTAAACTTTTCTAAAAGTATACCGTTTGCAATTATCTATTGTAAATATAAAGCAAACCAAAACTAGAGTTGATTTTAATAAAAATTTTGATATTTATTGCGCAATTGGTGTCAATTATAGTAAAATTCCGATTGATCGTGATTAGATGAAAAAATTTAATGATTACGAACTAGAGATATAAATTGTTAAGAAAAATTTAGGAATAAAATATTGAAAATAATAATGTATAAACCAATAATACCATTAGCTTTAATAATTCATAATATAATATTCAGTATTGAAAAAATGCATTTCATTTTATGACTAAGATCTTGCTGGAACGAGATATAATAAATTGTTTAATAGTGAAATGAAATAACCTTCTAAATTGACAAGTGCAAATTATAAATTACTATGTTTACATATCAGAAACGTATTTTAGTGATTATATTACGATTCCAATTGTAAAAATATATGAGATGGAAGTAGTGAAAATATAATATGTAAAAAATAGTATAGTTATTTTAATAATAATTATCATCCATTAGTGCTGAACATATAAATATTTTTTTAGATCTCTGCCTCGATCATGAAATAAAAAAGGAAACGATTTCAAAAATTACAGGCAATATATAGTACAAAATACATCTGAAATCCTTAAAAATTAATATAATGTAAACATTCCATTTGCAGCAGTTGTAAACGTAAATATTGATCATTATAAGAGACTGAAGAAATTTATCGATTCTTCTTATAAATTATTGTCATAGGTAATATTTAAAACGGAAAACCAACTGCCTTACGATATTTTATAATTTACCAGTCGTGTGAAAAAATATTGTAAATTAAAAAGAATGATAGATGGTTTAATTTAATCTACTTTTTAAATAACAATACATAAAGGCATTTATCTTCGGAAACAGTTATATTTACACCGTACTATTGTTTATAAATTGGACATTTTTGTAAATTATACATAAAAGTTATTGAATTTGTACAGTATCGTAAAAAAATCGTTTATGTCGCATTATTTAAGCGCTTAAATCGTCCTTTTTCTTTGCTGTTAACTCAAAAATCATATCACGCATACGACTCAAATCATGCAGATCATTTTGCAATTTTTGGACCATTGCTTCTTTCTCAGCAATTGTCTTTTGGTACATATGACACTGCTGAGCTTGCTGTTTTAGTTCTTGATCTAATGCAGCTATATCTTGATTATTTGACGTAATTTCTCGATTCTTTTCTTCGATAATCTAAAAATATAAAAAGTATTATTATTGAATAAATATATGAAAAAAGCTTATGTATGTAATGGAAATAAACGTTAACAATACTGCACCTGATCTTTTTTATTCATAGATTCTTGTAATTTTTGAAGTAATTTACTGATTTCTTGCTTTTCAGTCGTTACTTCTTTTAGTTTTGCGCTTAGCTGTTCATTTTGAGATATCAGTTCTTTCACTCTATCGATTAATATGGGAATTTCTTCAGTTTGTTTTTCCAAATCTTTCAGACGCGTGTTATAAATATAAATTTGATGTTCCTTTTCATTAACAATTTTTTTCAATCCAGTGATTTCCTGAAATAATACAATAGTTTATTTTTAACTATAAAATCTATGCTAAAACTTAATCTTATATACCTGTGCTTGTGTTGAATGTGTGTGCTTAGTCTTGTCTTCTATTTCTTGAATTTTCTTTTTTAATGCAATTTTTTCTGCCTGAGATCCTTCCAAACATTGTTGTGTATTGAATAAAACTTGATGTAATTGACCTGACTGAGCCATCAACTGGGCTAATCTATGCTGAAGACTTGTGGCATGATTGGTAGCTGCTTCTAAACTAACTTGCATAGCTCTTTCTGCATGTCTCATTGTTGCCATTTTATACTCATATAGTTCCATTACAGCAGATGTTGTTATATCTGATACTTTATCAGTTTCAAATGCATGTTCAAGCTTTGCTATAAATGTATCAAGTCTTCCTTCTTGAGCCATTGAAAATAGTGGAATTGAATCATAAGCATGGCCATGCACCAAAGTTTCTGGTACTTTTGTTATAGTTGTTTTCTGTTGAACTAAAATCAATGGCTCTAGTTCTGCCATACATTTTGCAACAGCGGATATACTGGAAAAAATAGATTTCTAAAATATATTTAGCTTTATTATACAAGCTGTGCAAAGCTTTCAAATTTACCATTCTTGTGGATATCCCACTGTAGATGTCAATTGTAAAACTTTTTGCTTGACATCGCTGTCTCCAGTAAATAAAGCTGTAGCCATAACAATCTGCATTTTTTTCTTCTTTAATATTTCTGTATACAATGTAAGCCACTGAGTATTATTAGTTGCCAAATCTGCTACAAGAGCTAATGCATGAATGTAAAAATCTGTCGATGGATCCTAAAATGTTTGTTCAAATTTCTTCAATTTTGAATTAAAATTATTTTAATAACTACTTACATGAAACAGATTTCTTGGTTTTTCCAAAAGTCTTGAATCATTGCTTGAATCCAGAATAGTTCTTAACAAACCTTGCATTTTTGGAACTGTCAATACTTCTAATACTTTGGTTCTTATTGCAGGTGTCTTAACTAACTCTTGAAAGAGTTGCATTAGTTCTGTCAAATTTTTTTCATTTTCAATTGTGTTTGTTTCGTGATTTCCATCCATGTCATCATCCTCTTTGATTAGAAGTGTCAATACTGATAAATCTAGTTCCTCTAGTACTTCCAAATTATTTTTGGTTCTTCGAGAGTCCACCACAATATTTCTAATTAAGGCCAATGCATTAGTACAAACCTATATAATACATATTTCATAAAAAATATGTTATACTTATACTTATTTTATGAGTTATAATTAAATGTATTACATTGTTTATAGGCACACGTGACACAGCAACTTTCACAATTGATGGATATAACTGAACTAAATCTGTTGCTTTCAACTTCATTAAAGAAAGTAGAAATTCCATTATAAGATTAGAACATTCTTGGTCAGATTTATCCTTGAGAGTTTCCAAAATATTTTCCACATCTTTGAAATAACTAAAAGCATTAATATGTTAGCATTGTGAAGTAAATAAATGCAGTAACTGTAGACTTACTTGGGATATTCTAATAAAACTGATCTAAAACGTTCATTTTGCCTTATATCATCAAAAAAATCAACAATGTGCCTCAATAAAAGAGGATCTTGATTTTTTAAAGTAGGAATAATATTTGTAAAAGTCACTGTTGCGACATCTAAGATATATGAATCTAATATATCACTGTTTGCATGTTCTAAAATAATTAATAACTTGCAGCACTGTACTCTTATATTAATATTTTGACCACTTGTTTTAACTACACTTTGCAAAAATGTTTTAGTATTTACACTTCGCATCAACACATAAACTGCTGGTAAATTTTTATAACATAAGTTTACCAAGACACTTAGAGATAGCATAATTACTTCTTCCTCAGTAGATTGAATTACCCATTGAGATAAAGTTTTTATCAAATATGGTAAGTGTGCTTCTTGCCACGAAATTTTAATGCCATAAGTTAATTGTTGTAATAACTTTAGAGCTCTTATTCGTTTTTCTGATGTCAAATTAGCCTAAGATAGTAATTGGCACATAAAAATATAATGTGAAAGGATTTGTTAATAAAAGAATATCAAAAAATCAAGAATATCAAAAAAAGAATATCAAAAAATCAAGCAAATTTAAAAAATCTTACCTCTAACAGTCTTGTTAAAAGTGGTGCAAATTTATAAGTATGAATAAGAGCATGTCTAGCTGCTGAATTTTTACAGGCAGTTTGCAAAACATCTACAGCATTCCATATCAAAGTTGATCTTGATCCCATAGTATTCATCATCTCATATAGACTTACATAAAACAGTGCAGACACACTCGAACCAGGATCAAAAATATTATAATCTAATGATGCACTTACAGCCTGAAATTAAGTCAACATTATTATAACATAAATAGTATAACTTTCCAATTATAAATATTTGAATACATACATCAAGGTTTCTTTGTATCATCGAAGCTGAGGTCTCATTAGGATGTTTTGCATACTCTGATGCAGCAGAAATAAATGATCGTATATACTGAAAATTCTCGATTTCTGGCATTTTGTTACATTAATTTACAGGTCACAATTAGTACAGTATATCACTGAAACATACTTTCATATATCTTGATTAGTCTATCATACAAATATATAGTACGATATTGGCACAAAGGGAAGAAACGTCAAACAAAATGCTAATGGTTATCAGTCAATATATATACTTGATTGTCAAAAAAAATGGCAATGAGGAGATCCACAATAATAACTGACAAATACACTAGACAAACACTAATTTAGCCAAGCAGACGCGACAAAGAAAACCTAACCGCAAGTACGACACGCGAAACCACACAAAAATTTACAAGCGATTTAGTGATTTGATCCAAGCATGGCGCGCGATGTTGTCCGTTAGTCCTCGCGCCGTTCATTTTTAAATATTCTACGTACCCTCCCTTTTTTAAACGCGCCAATCCTCGCTTTGGTTGTCCTTTACTGCCACCACGCGAACGCGGACGATTCTTCAACTTCGATTAGATACCATTATACTATTGCACACAACGAATCTACTCTACTCTTCGTTCGTTCATGAGAAGGGCGCGCGTGAGCAAAATATGTGCGTAAACGTCATGCTTGAGATCTCAAAGCTCGCGATCGCACCGTAATAATACCAGTTGCGATATCTGTTTGTAAATTGAGCGATGTATCCGTAATTGGCCTCGATTTACCTGTGACTGTTCGCACGTGCTGGTGCTGTGATCAAAGTTCGAAACTGTGTGTACGTGGTAGATTTTGTTGTTGTAATAACGGATGCTGCGTATTACAACATTTTGTATATAGACTGATATAACCTCAGTGCAATGCACATTTTTTTAATTGAAATTGATTTTACCTTTGAGAGATTAACGTTCCGCCTCGAGAACTTTTTACTTGCAATTATCAGTAGTGTCCATCGGTGGGATCTATTAGCTAGATTTAATTGATGTTATTCAAGCTATCAGGTCACAATAAAAAGAATGAGCTTCTTTGTTAGCTGTTAATTATTGGTTTTTTAACTGTCCATTGTAGACTACACTATCTTAAATATGATACCTTTGAAATCATAGATCATCTATGTAGTTGGATGTTTTTTATTTGTTGCTCAATACAATGTTTCAACCTACATGATAAGTTACACTTATCATTTTACCTTATTGATCTATTGTCTTTTAATGTAGTGTAATCAGAGCAATCAATAATCATTGAAGTGTCTTGTGGCAGTGTTATATTTCACACCCTTCTACAGTGCCTAACATATAATTGATACGTAAAAAAAGTTACAAGCAATGTCAAAGTTCTATCTGAACTCAGTTGTTCTCTCAACTTGGTACTAATCAAATCTGTTATATTTTCCAATTTCAATACTTCACCAAATGAGAGTTTGCAAATTAGTTTTGTTTCTGCGATACATAAAAATGTGCATTGCTTCTGAAAAAACCAGTGTAGTATAATAAAAGTGCTTCTTTGCTGTTTTAGTATTGTTGTTAGTGAGTGCATAAATTAATAGTTCAAAAATGGCTGATAAGCCTTCCGGAATCAGACCGCCTTCAAAAATTGGTAGACCGGGCTGTACAGTAACCCCCAAACCAGCCATTCCATCATCACCATCAGCAAGTAAGCTTATAAATGCAATTTATAAGGTATTTTTGAAAAATATTGGTATTGAAAAAAAAGATTTCCTTAAAATTATTTTGTTAAAGCATTCTATATTTTTATACACATTATATTTATTATTTACAAGAGAAATAAAAATAATCATGAAAATTTATTATTTTCATTAAAATGAATATTAGATTTTTAGTTTTAATTTGATAAAATAATTTTTGTTGGAAATTGAAGAAGATTTTATTTCTCAGTAACCGTTGTCAATACACATTTTATTATTATATTTGATCGTTTATACTTTTTTCCGCTTTGTAATTCTGAGGTGAGTAATTTTCGAACAATTTTTATTCAAACAATTAATTACTTTAACTTGTCACATTCAATGACTAAACAAACGTAATAAAATTAAAGTGTGCACATTACTCTGGTCAATTCGTGAGAAGGTTCGAAAATGAAACAGTAATATGCCGATCATTAATAATAAATTACTTGAATTGCAATTTCAATGTATTAAAAAATAATTATAAGATATTAAAACCATTAATAATAACGCTCTACTTCCATTGTCATTTAATATTCAAACGTACATTATCCTTCTCCGCGCAGTAGTTGGAATTCAGTATATTATTAGAAGCTTTTATTTGTCCCACTTGCATGAACTGTTTGAATAAATATTTTCATTGGGATCCCTTTTCAATGGAGAGAGCAGCACAATGTACAAGGTATACAGCACGAGGTGCAAGCGTAGTGTGTAGTATTGTTCATTGATTTAATATTTGCGTAGTTTATTTACTAACAAAATAGGCAAAATCTTGAGAATTCTAACTTTACAAAAATTAGTTTGACTACATTCATCTATTACTACTAAAAATTATTTGTTCAAAATGAAACAGATTTAGAAAATTGAGTTGAAAAAATCGGTATAATTCAATCGTGACTAAATATACCAAATTACCACATATTATCTATATTGAGATTATTTTATTCAATTAAGAGAATATACGTACGGACACGCACGCACGCAGTACGCACACGCACATTCAACGTAAGATCGACTTTCCGATTCCAAAACGTGAAGAAACTGTCTACACAAATGGTAAAGATAAAAACTATATTTGCGGGAAAATACCATGTGTTTAATCAATAGTTGCAGAACAACAAATAAAAGTTGCTCGAAGTTTAAGGACAACATTGGAAAAAAATGTGCCGTACATTTCTTTTCACCATGTACTATAAATATATATATACATGTGTTCTCCCACCGTACGCCAGCAATGCGCGTGCGATTCGAGACGCCCACGCGCCGATGGTGTACACACAAGTATCCGAGCTGCGCGCGAGAAGAAGCATTCGCGAGTCTCGATCGAACCGCAGACACCTGAGGACTTAGCGAATCTCGAGTGTATCTATTTGCCGCAGTCAAGACGGGATCGTTCAAGAAAAGAACTCGTAAGACTTGTCTCCAACAAATTCTTTCGTTTATAATAATAACAATAACATCCGTCTACGTGTTGTAACAAAGGGTTCATTTCTTCCTTTTTTTTATCATTGTTACGAAAGTGTACGTGAGAGAATATTAATATTTATTTTCCCCGGGTTGGGTTTTGAAATATGATTTAATCGAGTTGTTGTTTTTGCGAAATAACGCGCGACGAATACTGATCAATGCTAATGTTTCATAGCTTTTATATTGTTTCAAATCACAAAAATTATTAACCTAGATATTCGCACTCGCTAATGAATTTTCTAACACAACGAATCATTTTGCAGACAAACTTGCTGTATTTTTCGTATAGCGACCTGGTAGGTTATCGTGGAATTTAATTTGCTAAAATGATAAACACACCAAAGCTAGTCAAACTGCTTATTAACTAAATAATACAGTCTTGTAAAAGATACATTTTCTTAAAACGATAAACGAGGAGATTTTAATTACATTTGCAAATGTAAATTTACGTGACGATCGACGCACAAATCTTCCCAAACAAGACAAGAGTTGTTAAATCCGAAAATGTCGAGCCACTCCTAGTTTTCATTCGATCGGAATGATGTTGCATATCACTCTCGGATATTCGACTTATTTCGTGAGGTTGCATTGTCGGTACATAACAAGAAATCGAGGGCGATCTTACCTCATTGGTCTCGGCTCAGTCATCGTTTAGTGACGCATGCAACTCACCGATAGCATTATGCAACAACGTGCTGACTTCTTGAGTGCATTTGCATTCGAAAAGTTCGTTTTGGCAAAAAAGGGGGTTAATGAGGGCTTTGTTTGACTTAGTTTTGTAATGATCGACCGCCAGCTTCAGTTAATCGTTTCGAGGTCGAAATTCAAGCTTCGTTGCTTATCTTCGATTTTATCCTCAAACTAAAATTACAAAAACTTATTCACACTCGTGAAACTTGGGCTTTTATTACACGAGCTCGATTCTCCATCCAACGCACCGGTGATTCGATGATGTTGCTGCGATTTCACGCCATCACGTGAATTGCCATTGTAAAAGTATTACACTACTAATCAAACTTTACAACACCAACGATAATTTTATCTCGAAATCCATTACACACTGAGGTTAATTGGAGCGCGCGCGGGGCAACCAAACTTTACAATCTCAGAAATCTCTATGCGCTGAAAGTTCGCGGCCGCATGTTTCCAGGAAATATTTTGATTCCATATTCGCGACGTTTCGTTGCACAACATTACCGCCCACACAACGGACAGTTTCCTCCTTTTTTTGTTTTCGCGTACTGGCACCTTGGAGGTATGTAAACAATGTATTCAAGGCTTTTCTCACGCGTATGGGTTTTCTTAATTAGCGTTGGCAAGAGATTTAACCAAGGACCACGTAATAAAGGATTGATGTCACTTTACACGCCGATATATCGATTCGACTTGTAAATGGTAATCACGGAACCATAGAGCAATAAAAAATATATGATAGAAGGTTATAAGGCATGTTCAATAGTTGGCGTGTCAGTACTATTAATTAGATGGCTCGCAAGTATTGTTGTTAGTCATCGTATTGACGAGAGAGAGCGAGAGAGAGAGAGAGAGAGAGAGAAAGAGAGGAAAGAGAGAGGAAATGATATGTTTTGGCATTCACTAGTTTTATCGATTGTATTATTTGTTTTATTTATTCAAGTCTTTGGAAGTGATTCAAGTAGTTGGGTATTTTCACTACAATAAATGGAAAACTATTTAAAAATGAAGAATAAAAAATCAGTCTGACGAGTCGTAGAAAACTATGCGAAACGGATTAATTCTACGATCATTCTCGCAATTTCGAAATAAATCGTAGCGTCGTAAATGAAATTTCGTACTTCTTTTGAGCACTCGCGCATTAACTTGAAAGGATATTGCCGATCGAAGCAACCATTCATCAAAGGCATTTAAAAAGGCATCGCGAATAATCAAAGCTCGAAACAAGATCTTAGAAAAAAGTCATTCCTCGTATAGACACATCGTGGTAATTTAAATATTGAGTAAAGGCCAAAACAAGAAAAACTCGCAGGCCATATACGTAAGCTTATAACTTTGACGAACGTCGATTAAGCAAGATGATCAGCAGTGGTGTGTTTGTAAGGAAAAACAAAGTAAAAGATCAGACAAACGTTGTCAGTCATAACAGTGGAAGATACGATATCGTAAATTCCATTTGCAAAACACCCACGACATAACTGGCTGACGCGACCTACTACTATCGCATACGCCCACGGCCTTCATAAATACCTAATTGCATCTCGCTAAGCTCAGCGATACTCAGATATCAAAATGCGATCGCTCTTGGTTACGAAGAATCACGATTCTCTTCCTGCTTGGGTTTCACGCGCGGGTCAGCGTGGCGACTGCCACTCCGAAAAACAATGTCATTGTTGCGTCGGCCGCCCGCCTCTGCCTTTTAATTTGCGATCGCGCGGAACGCCTTGCAAGTCCATGGTTGCGTAATCCCTTGCAGCTGCGGCGCTACGCGTCGCGCGCGCATCTGTTCTTGAAAAGACGAGCAATCTCGGCGTCTATCGTTCCATCGTTCCATCGATGATTAATTTGCAATATAGTCAGAACTATCTGCAAGCAAACTGACTGCGGATGGATGTTTACGAGCGAATGTGCTTTGAGTGTTGCTCGGGGCTTTGCACGTTTTGCCCTTCCATGCACTGTACGTAGTGTCCACTCAAACAGAACACTCACACAGAAACAGAATTTCATCGCTGCTAGCTGTCGTGCGTCCAGCTGAGAAATCGAGAGACAACGACCGGTTACGTAGATTTTCACGCGCAAAATTACTAAAACTAATTAATACTAATAACTAATGTCAATGCGATAAAGTCAATTGGAAATGTCTTCTACTGGTCGGATCTCGCGACTTGCGTCGCACGAGAAATATACATAAGCGACTTTATCGTCGTTAGTGGGGATTTGAATGATTTCAAAATAAATTTGGTTAAATTGTATTAATTGTATTAATCCCTTAATTGTTGGGTGAGTTGTTTGCTTTTCGTGCACTTTGTACTTGCTGTACAGCTTGTAGTAGGATGTTTGTTGATATGTTGCATGACACGGCGCAGATTCCATGGAGCCACTTTGGGAGTCTCACGGGCGCCGTTTGAGCGAGGCTGGAGTCCGTAGAGGGTCAGGTAGGTTGCTTGAGTCCACGGCTTTCGTTGCTAAATTATTAGTCAAATGTACGTATACACGGTAGTCGTTTTTGTTTGAGACGTGCATGTTACTTGTGTCGGTGTCTATTGCACGATATTATGCTGGACCACGTATGTACCTTGTTGGCTCGGATTTCATGCATTTCAGGAAGTCACTGTCATTCATATCTTGAATACGAATAATTATATAGAAAAGTGTCTGTCGATCTCTTGACTCGATGCGAAAGATGTAGTAGCATATGACACGAGCCATTGAAATAGTGCCCCCCGGTGAAAAAGAGGTGAAAAAACTGGTTGACGATGGCTTATGCGTATTCTTTAAACAGATAATAGCGTGGTGCTGACGGAGGACACGGACAGTTTTATCATTGGCGATCGCGTCTGGGTCGGCGGCACAAAGCCGGGTCAAATCGCCTACATCGGCGAGACCCAATTCGCCCCTGGAGACTGGGCTGGCATCGTTCTCGATGAGCCCATCGGTAAGTGCAAGCGCGCATCGCGCCATTTCGAATTTTCGGTCGCGCGCGTCGGCCGCGCACGGAAAATTCGAAACGGCAGGCCAGGAGCGCGCAGGTGATAAGAGATGGTTGTTTGCTCCAGGCAAGAACGACGGCTCGGTGGCGGGCACCCGATACTTCCAGTGCGAGCCGAAGCGCGGCATCTTCTCCCGGCTAACGAGGTTGACTCGCTATCCGCTTAGCTCGACCAGCTGCTTCTCGCCAGCCGAGAGCTTCGGCAAGTCCGTGTCGCCCTCACTGAGTAAGCACCACCGTCAGCTCTACGGCTCGCAGCGCTGAGGAAGCCTCTTTCGTCCAGCAGCCCTCTGTCCGTCTTTTTCTCTTGCCTCCGCCATCCCGTCTGTCGCCAATGCACTCCTTGCACCTTTCGCGCGCCTACATGCCTGTGTCGTTTTTACCCAGCACTCGACCTCTGTACGCTCTGTCCTTCGTTTGTTTTGCTTAGAAATTCACGCGAGAGCGAGCGAGAGGCAAGATCCTTCGGCTGTCAACTCTTGGTCTCCGCGTGTTTTTCTTTCCGACCGACGATTAACCGAAGCTCTCTTCTTCCAAGTCGCATTTCGCTGAGATGCGCGCAGCTAACGGAAGGATCTGGACTCTCCTCGATAGTTGTACGTTAGGCAGAGAGGATGCATCAGGTCAAATAAATACTTGCGACTAATAAGCCGCCTGTTGTGTTTGCACATCGCCACATCGCTATTCGATCCTTGGCTGCGAACGGCGAAATCCGAGAGAAGCTGCAGCCGCGTTACGCATCGAATGCGCACGGCACCGATCGACCGAAGGCCGACGCCACCTCGAACGCGAAGCTTCTTTGCTAATCGGTCCGCGACGAGGCCGCTCGCGAAAACGCACGCCTCGCACGCTTGGCTGCCGGCGCGGTCCCAAGGAAAAACCCAATGAAAACGCAGCGCAACAGCCATACCGAGCACGCGTGCTTTGACTTGACCCCCAGACGCATCGACGACCAGCCTCGCGTCGACCACCGCTGCCAGGGATCTACAAATTGGCCAACGAGTGATCGTCCAGTCGAGCCAAGGCAGCAAAACCGGTATTCTCAGGTACATCGGCACCACGGAATTCGCTGCCGGAGACTGGTGCGGCGTGGAATTGGACGAGCCCGTTGGCAAGAACGACGGCGCGGTCGGCGATAAGAGGTCTGCTGATCACCACCCAACGTCGCGCTGCCCGTTAGGATAATTTGGTGTACTTTGACCATTGCGTAGCAGCTTTCCGAGGCTCCTGAGGTCCAATTTTCACCGATGAGATGCTTACTTTTGCGACGACTTTCACTAAGCTCGCGCGAAACGCTATAAGCTAAGAATTTTTACGCGATCGATACTTTCTAGCAGTCATTCGCCAAGTCAGGATATTCTTGATTCTTAAATGTCGGTACTGGCTGGAAAAAGCTGACTCGCTGCTGTCTGCGTTATAAAGCATGGAAACATTGATTTTATCGTCGATCGATAAATGGTGTACAGTATGCAATTCCATGAGGACCAAATTAACAATAAACATATTTCATAATCGACGTAACTTATAAAAGTAACATCACTAAGTGTCTTTTAATAGGAATCATTTGTAAAGGCAATCAAACAAATCAATGTCTTCATCCCTTCTAACGAATGGACCTCGAGTGTTACGAGTGGAACGAATACTACTAACTCCCAACAAACAAGTCAAATGTACATACAACTTATCCTAACGTGCAACAACTGACAACTGTGTAATTCAAACTAATTGTCTCCGCGTGTGCAATTCGCTCACCTCACCAATTACAGGTATTTTGAATGCCGTCCAAAGTACGGACTGTTCGCGCCGAGTAGCAAGGTGAGCCGTTCGCCATCGAATCGTCGAACAACGGCTGTAACGCAACGACCTTCCGGTGCCGCGCTCAACGCTTCTCTACGAAAAGCCGGATCGCGCGAATCTCTCGCTTCAAGCGTAGCGAGTCGCGTCACCACCACTGCGTCTACAGCTTCCAGGGTAAGATTCAACGTGCCTGAATGATGCCATCAACAAGGCTGTCTTGTCTGCTGTCTCTTCCGTTCTGTGCCATCGACGGGCTGTTGATTGTGTTTTTACTAACTCGTTTTGTTGATTTTTTTTAATAACAATATTGAGTACCTTAGAAAGGAAGTACAACGGTGCTATTAAATGTGCTTACTTGATTAATTTAGAAAAATAAAAAAAAACGAGCTGCCAAACAAAGAAAAAAAACGAATGTTATACTTCCTTGAAACACAGTTCAAAGTTAAACCAAAAGAAACGTAACAGCATACTGTAACTTATAGTATTAAACAAAACTTTATGTGTCAAGAACCGTATTCTGACGATGGAGCATTTGATCTCAGACAACTTTTAAAAGGAAGATGTATACTTTATTATTATTGTGACAATAAATAATAATCCCTGCATGCGAGTCCCACTTCCAAGTGTAGACATCGCATGTGAATGTTACCATGTCTTTTTTTTGGTTTTGTTTCTTGAGCTTGTGACGTCTTGCAGATACAGAAACCTGGTTTACCACATACTTCCACACCTGCCAGAAAAACAACGCAGGTGAGAACAAGGTTTTCTTTTTTGCCATTTACCTGCTCTTTGCAGTGGTATTTGACAATTATTCTATAGCGCTGCATGTGTACCTATAATAAGCTTTCATTTGATCCGTGTAGCGATGGTAATGTAGTTTGAAAATCAGTTTGACTGAACGTAGACGTAAATGTTGCTGTAGCGATGCTGAATTTTAGATAAAATGCCAACTACGTAATACACTACAAATTTTCAATGTGTTGTATAAAAAATATATCGATATACCTTTTCCTATAATATAATGAAAAAATAAATAAAGGGATTGAAAATATGATAACGTCACAACAAATATCACGATTATCTTAATTAACTTTCTTAAAATTGCATTGATAAACGGAAGGTAGGTATTTGGATACATCCATATTGGGCATTGAAAATACGCTTATAAGAAAACACGAATAACAATCAAGTAGCTTATTAAAATCGTATTACAAACAAACAATCTATCTGTTCTACATCTACAAATAAGTTAACAACACTTTCACAGCACCTTTTATGACAATATCTATTACTCTAATTTAGCTAATTTATCGTATTGCATTGAAAGTTTGATCATAAATTCAGCATACTAATAGCCTGAATAAAAAACAATACTCGTATCCTCCAGCAAAATAGAAAATAACAAAAGTAGATAAATGTAGCATCAATGAAGTGCCATATGAATTATATGTAGGTAGATGGCACCACGAGATGAATCAAATTGTAGAAGTTTATAATAGTTATATGGATAGACTATCCAATACATAGATTATTCTAATACTGCGACTTTTAGAAGAGTATAAGTATAAAAAATAATTATTACAATAACACTAATGTGTGCTAATATTATGTAATTTTGACAATAAAATTTGAATCGTATACCTCTTTTGTCTTTGATTTTTCATACTAGTATTTTATAGTTAAATAACAGTACATATTATAGTAATTATAGAATCAGATAAAATGGAAAGAAAGTTAATTTGCATAAGCGTTGAAAAAAATTTCCCGTTAAACTGCAATTTTATTAGATAATAGTAGCTTTACATAATGGCAAACAAATACACCAAGTATAATTAAATAAATAGTGTTTCACGTTGAAAATAAAAGAGAATCTAAAACTATACAATCGTATTTTAGGAGCTGTTGAAGGACAGGAGGTTAGAGATCGAGATTTTACGCAAAGAACGAGACTTAGAGCGCGAAAGAGTCACCAAAGCTGCTAGTCAAGCTGATGAGGCTGAAAAAGCTACTGCTAACTTGAAAAAAGAATACGATAAGGTATTTTTCATTTGCCTAGAAGCAACATTCTAATTTTCTAATTGTAATATCTAATTTAATTAGTAATTTGGAATTGTAGTTTCGCGAAGAAGCCGAAAAAGCAGCACGAGAAACTCAAAATACTCTAACTCAACTTTTGGAGGAGAAAAATCTTCTAACCACACAGTTAGAAGAAGAGCGAAGAAAATGTGAAGATTTGCTGTTTAGATTTGAAGAAGAATCGATAAACAAGGACGTTATTCAGGTAAAACTCTTTAAGTAAAATTTAGAAATTAGGTGGTTTAGGGTACAAATGTAGCCGATTGTTATCTTAACGGTAATCTATTAGTGAAAATAAATTACGTCACATTTACTTATGGTGATGGTCCCTCCTTTGATGATAAAGTAGATTAATATAGTTTACTTGATAAGCATAAACTAGTAAATTAACTAGATTTATTAATTTTTTTTATAATAAAGAATACATTTCTTTTAAAAAGTTTGAAAAAATTTATTTTCTGGACTCTTAGAAATGTAGGGAAATACTAAATCTATTTTTTTTTCTTTTTTTCGGTCGGTATACGACCAACTATGACTAACCAGGCAAACGTATTATATTTATTTTCAGAATGAAAACACCGAGCAAAGTGTGAGTATACACCCGAAGCCTTTTGGGTTTGAAGATACACTCAAGATTCTATTTTACACAGCTTGCTTCATCGTCGCATTAGAAATCTTGTTTGACTTTTCGCACAATCTTGCCAAATTTTATTTTATCTGCTTGCTTATGAATGCGTTTGTAGCTTTTTATCGATAGTTCTTCACCTCGCATGTAGCATCTTTCAATATTTACTATTTTGTTTCTTAAATCTTAAAAGTATAACTTGTATGTTAAAATGTTATTTCAATGTTACTGTTGTATATTAATTTAATCTAACATTGTTTATAAATATTTTCATGAGCAACTGTTTAGTATATATATATAATAGCAAGATACTCGGTAACTTGTCGTAAAATGAAAGTTTCAATGTTATTAGTCGTGTTTTTTTGTTTTTGTTTTACTATGTTGTTAGAAAAAATGTTGTTTGAAAAAAATATTAAATATATAAATTAGCATAAACTTAATCTTTTTCCCCCTTTTCTATGGCGCTTTTCAAACATCGTCTAGATGATTTTTCTTGTTTAGAATAATTTGAAGTATTTTACAATGTATATTGGGTAAATAGGTTGCAAATGCTGTTTACGAAAACAAAATCAAAGGCCTTGAAAAACAGCTATCAGAAGAAAGAGAAAGAGTAGTACAACTTGAAAGAGATAGTACGAAGTTATTTGAAGCCGAAGAAGAATTAGCAAAACTCCGACTAGAATTACAAACATCTGGTGGAAAAACAGAATATTCAGGTAAAGTGTATTACATATAACTTATTTTACTTATCAACGTTTATTCTTACAAACTCCATGAAATTGCCAGATTTGCAAAAACGCTATGGAGATGTGAATAAGGCAAAAGAAGAATTTGAAAAGCTTTTAGAGGAAAAAAATAAAACTGTTGAAAAATATGAAACGGAAATTAATGAAGCGAATAAGAAACTTCAAGAAAAGGAACAAGAAAATCTTGATAAAGAAGAATCCAAGTTGAATTTACAAAAAGAACTCGAAGAAACTACTCGACAGTTACAGGAAAAGTGTACGTTTATTGATGAACTGCAAATAAAATTCAAAGCTCAAGCAGAATTATTAGAACGAGAAATTGAAAAATTAAAAGAAACAATTAAAACTGTTTCTGAACAAAGTGCGTTCGAGCGGACTAAGTTTATTGAAGAACAAGAAAAATTATTGAAGGAAAAAGATGAAATTATAAAGTCAAAAGCAGTAGAGTTGAAAGCAGAACAACAAAAATTATTCACGATACAAGAAAGTGTATTAGAACAGCTCAAAGCAGAAAACACTAAACAGATCGAAGAATTGTCGGAATCTTTTAATATACAATTAAATTTGAGAGATGATCAGATTGAACAGGTTACAAAACAACTGGGTGAAAAGGTTCAAGATATTAGTAATATATCAGCGGAATTGAATGATTCCAAAAATCTTTGCACTACGAGAGAAAATGAAATTAAAAATCTAATTTCTGATTTGGAAGGTAAATAATATCCATTTCAATAATATCAATGGCAATAATAATACTTGTGATTTTGATATATTTTACTTCTTGTGTTGTTCTATAGAATCTAAAGTAAAATTGAATTCTTCATATGACCATAATTTGGCTCTTAATAAAGAAATTGATGACTTAAAAAATAAATATGAAGAAGAAATCAAACTTATAACTGAGCAGAAAACTAAATTGGTTAGTGTAGTAAATACAAATTGTTTTATGTTTTAATGGGAGATATTTATGATAATACTTATTATTTATAGGAAAATGATGTTGGTAGACTGACTGCTGAATTAAATAATATGAAAGAGCAATTGAATACATTGAATGAGTGTATAAAAATTAAAGATTTAGAATTGTCTAAAATGCAAGGCTCGAAAATCGAAGAAATGGAAGAGTTAAGAAGGCATTTTCATGAACAAATGGAAGCAAAGAACAAATGTATTCAAGATGTTACTGCAGACGTTACACAAAAATCTTCAAGATTAACGGCTTTAGAAAATGAATTAGCTGATTTGAAATCAATTATAGCAAATAAAGATGAAGAAATAAAACATTTATCCGAAAAAACTTCAGGTAATATATATAATCAAATAACTTATGTTTTATTGTAAAACTACTAATTAAAAGTTTATACTTACTACCTTTTACTTTTGTTCAGAACTACGAGATGCTTTGACTCTGTCAGAACAAACGAAAACTAATTTAGAAAGTGAATTAAAAATGTACGAAACGAATGTAGTAGAATTGAATGAAAAATATGCAAGAGCAGAAGAAAAAGTTGCTGAATTAACTAGTAAAAAAGAGAAGCTAGAAACTGAAATTGCTAATGTTGTGAGTACATCAGTTGATTCATCTGGTAAATTAGTTAAGTATAGCGAAGATTTACGGCAAAAAGAGAAGGAGTTAGACGAATCACGTGACAGAGAATTTAAACTGCAAAAATCTATAACTGCTACTGAAATGAAAGTAAGTGTACTAGAACGAGATCTAAGCAAAGTCAATTCATTAGTTGATGAAATGCGTTTGGAAAACGAGGAAATAAAGTCGCAACTAGTTGCCGAAAAGGAAAAAGTAAAAGATGCTTTAGATAAATTCACACAGAGTGAAATGACTGAACAACGAATATCTGAAAAGAATAAAACGCTTCAAGACGATTTAAAGCAACAATCCTCTGAATTATTAGAACTAAACAATACACTGAAAGAAATACAAGGAAAAAATACTCAATTAGAAAAAGAACTTGCTGCAGTACTAGAGAAATATAAGAATGAAAAATCAAAGTTAGAAAAGCAAATTTTAGATGAAGGTAATGATCAAACCGTGTTAAAAGATAATATTGAAACTTTAGAGAAATTAAATGCTCAGATGAAGAGTGATCAACAGGCAATGGATGCTTCAATTAAAAAAATAGAAGAAAGTTTGCATACCAAGAATCAATATGCAGCAGAACTGGAATCTGTAATAAGTTCTAAGGATCAAGAGATTAAAGCAATTACAAAAAGTTTGGAAGAGATAACAACAGAAAAAGAGGAAATAAAAAATAGTTTTACAGATATCAAAGTTAAATACAATAATGCTCTAACAGAATTGACTTTGTTGAAGTCATCAAATGCCAATTTAGAATCTCATATGACAGTGGAAATAGCTAAACTTAAGCAGGAATTAGAAGATGAAAAATCTACTTTAGATACTGCTTTGAAAGAATCTAAAGCTTATGAAGAGTTGGCGAAACAAAAGTATACTGAGTTTAAAGCTACCATAGAATTGAAAGAGACTGAAATTAAAGCGTTAACTAACAGTTTAGCTACTGAAAAAGGAGTCACTGATAGCACAAACCTGCAGCTTCAAACTCTACAAGAATTTGTAGAAATCAAAGATAAAGAATTGACATCTAGCGTCAACCAAATAGCATCACTTAATGAAAGTATTAAAACTTTAGAGTCTAATGTCAGCTTTTTAAAAGACAAGTTGGATATTAAAGTTAAGTTGATAAATGAATTAGAAAGTAAGATAATTGAATTGAGAAAATCAAACGATGAGAAAGCTAGCTATGATGTTAAGGAAAAGCAAAAAGAATTGGATGATTTGATTGTCAGACATGCAGAAGAACTAAATTTAAAAGAAATGATCATTACTAAGCTTCAAAATATTATGGAACAACAAGAGAAAGCTGTTATGGATGCAATAGACAAGTATAATACCTCTGATGAGCTTATTAGAAAATATGAACGAGATTTAAGTATGAAAGATCAAACTATTTGTGAATTGAAAGATTTAGGTGAAACTAGGCAAAGGGCATTACAAGATTATGAGGCAAGGCAGAATAATATAGATATTTTATTAGCTCAAAAAGCAGATCATATTGAGTCGAGAGATAAAACTATAGCTGAGCTACGGAATAAGGAGCAAAAATTGCAAGAAAAGATTGAAAACTTTGAAGAGCAAATTAATTTTAGTAGTGAAAGAACATCTCTGCTAGAAGAGAATTTAAAGCGAATGTTCGTACCAATCAATTGTGAAATAAATTGTTAACTGGAATTAATTTTTTGTTATATTAAAAATCATTTTGTATTTTCAGGGAAAAGGAAAATAAGCAGCTCACTACCAGTTACAATGAGATTGTTGAGAAATTAAATATTGTCAACGAAAACCTGAAAAACAGCACAAATGTAATTTTTCATGTTTAATAATTGTTTCCACATTCTAACCTCCAAATTGCACCTTCGGTGCTTGTTTCCGACTTTAATGCGGAAAAATACTGTCCCGTAACCAATGTGAAAAAACTTTTTGACAAATCTCGTTACTGCCGGAGGCTCATGTTGTAAATTTTTCATTTCGTCAAAAAGGCCTTACGCACCCGTTAGGAATGTACTATTTTAACTATTGACTGCTCATTAATGTTTTCCATAAACATCGTTTTTCATCTTTCAGAAGGATACCTCAAATCATAAAGTTACTAATGATAAGACTGAAGAAAGTGCAAAACCTATTTTAAGTAGATTGGATGTTGATATAGAGAAATTGAAGGAGGAATACGAGTTAGCTAAAGGGCAAATCGATTTTTTGAACTCTGTTATTGTTGATATGCAACGTAAAAACGAAACACTAACGTGTAAAATTGAAGTCTTAGAAATGGGCATTCCGTCGCAAGAAGCTGATGATTATAATCTGTATATAAAGAACTTTATATTTCGAAAAATAATTTTTAGAAGTCGAAGTTTGAATAATCAATTTATGTAATTTATAGAAAGATGATTCAGAAAAAAAATCTCCCTCCTAGGATGTTCTGTGATATATGTGATCAATTTGATCTACACGAAACGGAAGATTGTCCTAAGCAAGCGCAAGATGCGGAACCTGTACAGCCGATTAAAATGGATAAGAAAAAAGTATTAGTAGAAAGACCGTACTGCGAAAATTGCGAAAGTACGTGCGAAAGTACATACCTTTAATTATTCTCTGCGTGCATTTGAATAACAATTTGATTCTATGTTCATTTTATAGTGTTTGGCCACGACACTTCTGCTTGCGAGGACACTGAGACATTCTAACGCATGGTTCTCGTTTTTGATTTGATAATCTTGCCAGAATTGTTGAAAGGATGTATTCTTGTTGATCCTAGATGCTATATTTTTATATCAAACTTAGTTAAAGAAAGATCTACAATTTCATATCATTTCATTTTACAACATTTAAATATTATTAAAGATCTTAGCTTATATTTATTGCATCGTTCATCTGCTACCAATTGAAATCTTCTTAATTTATAAAAAGTTAACTCTTTTTAACCAAGTAGTCTGTCGTGTACACTGTTATTTATAGTGTTAATTGAAATTCATGAAATGTTAAGCCGATATCATATTTGTAAATAATACAAAAAATGAAACGCGATACCGAATTTGAAGTAGAATTTTTTTCAATTGCTATTTTTAATGTAAGTATATTACAATATGTCAAAATTATTGATCATTCGAATAATCATGTTGGCATTCATTTAGGACATTTTATATAAAGAAATAACTAAATTGCCAAAGTCTCCCTCTTTCAAAATATTAATATTAAGTCGAATCATTATGATTGATCTATAATTAATTAACTAATTATTGAAATTAAATCAATAGCTAATTTGTATATAATTGTAAAAAATTAAATTAAAAGAATAATTTATATTATACTAAAAATAAATGACGATTCTATCAAAAATATATTTTGGTTGTTGTGTAATCTTATTGCCTGATGCTTGTCAATGAGTTATATTTGCTTTGATGAGTTACTAGTAGAACCGACCTTACATGTAAGTAAAAAGAATTACCAAAAAATCATTTGATCATTATAAAATATCTTCTGAAAAAATGTTTTAATCTTTAAAAACAATTGCTTGCAAGTATTAAAATATTAAGTAAATAAACTTCTGCAAACTTCGTCCTCACGTTTCATTCGGTTAAGTTTGAAATAAAACAGAATCTTAATCAATTTGCAAATCTAATCACAATAAAAAATAAATGACAAATTTGTCGCTATTAAAATGACAATAATTACTCGAAAATTTACTGTTCGTGAGAAAGTCAAATGTAGGTGTACAAAAATAACGAGGTATGTAGAAAATATTGATCATACATATTTCGTGACAAGTATCTAGTTTGCTTAATTATTCTCCATTTCAAAATTCTAGAATTAATTTCAACTTTACCGATAAATTCATGATTTGTTAGAATAAATCAATATCTAGTCTGAACAAAATGAAATAGAACGTTAATTTATAAACAATAGTTTATTACGCTGAATATTAATAATGATCCTATTCTATTCAATGCGTCAGAATTTCCTGCTTCTGCAGTTGTCCTTAACAACGGAATCAATACTCCTGAGTGAATTCAACAACGGTACGTTCAAGTATTACGTAGAGATTATAAAAAACATGTTTTTACTCTATACTAGAGTCTTTTCAACAAAGTACAGACGTGGATTGACAAAGTATGCTATTTCATTATTGAAACTGAAAAATAATTAATCTTTAAATATCGATATATTTAGTTAAGGTTTAGCTACAGTGAATATGGAAAGAATCGTTGAAGATCAAGAAAAAATTCAGCTTTACCATACCGAATTAATTTTGCATGACGTTTTGTATAAAATTTTTGAATATTTGAATAGACATGATCTAAATGAAGTATCAAGGGTTTGCAAGTAAGTCTTATGTGACGTTTTTCTATAAAGTGTCTACGTTTCAGATAAATAGCTTATGGTCGTTGTTTAGAGACTGAATTGGTTACTCGATTGATTAAAGATCTTGGTACTGGGCTGCCAAAGTAGAAAAAGCCAAGCGTGGTCCACAGATTATGATATTACAAGCAGTAGGAGAATTCGGTACGTCAGGATCGACAAAAATTCATCCCGTTGGCATCGATGACTTCGGTAACTCTCTGAGGATTAAGCCTACAATCGGTATCTTCTTTACTGACGGAAAGTATGCAGCTCCAGCCGACTGCGATAGCGTTCCCTACGAAAGTAATTTAACTCTGGCCATTACAATTTTCTATTAGCCGTGTGCCGTCTGAAAGTTACTTGAAATTATTAACGACGATATACTCACAATTGTAGTATGCACTGCACATCAATGGGCGCAACCTGAAGATTGCTTTTACGTAGCAGTTGAGGCTTCGGCAGTTTATGTGGATAAAGATAAAATTGGAGGAGAGAAAAATGTGACTGCCGCTGTATTTTTTCCCGCATTATCAAACGTAAATTATGTATCAGCACAAACGAGCTCGCACTGTATCGTGCAGTACTTTGATAGGAGAAATAGCTTACTGTCAGAAATTACTGAAAAGCTATTTGTCACCGAGTCCAATCACGTTTGTTTCATCATGTTTATATATCAATGGAAAGACGAACCAACGTTTGATAATTACCATGAAAACTTTTGCAATGAAATTCTGGACACGTTGAAGACCAGGTTAGTCGAAAGCTAGCCACAACTAATAAATGAAAGATTGCCAGCGGTATACTTTGAATTTTAATTTCTACTTTTACAAAGATACACAGCTGGTACTTACTCTTTGTGGGGCGGAGCCATTAATGATATTTACACGAGATCTGCGGATGACAGGCCCTGGTCCTTCCATTCGACGAGCTTTTGTGCTTTAAGCTTATCCAATTCTTCTGTCAAGTCATGGTCCATAGCGATTGATAATAATTTGCCATATTTGGAAATTCAATTGATTTTAGCGGATTTCAAAAAACAAGTCTGTTTAAAATCTTCTTCAATTGCCTTTCTCATTATTTCAACAGACGAAAATAATTACGAAGAATCAAATATTAAAATCTTTAAAAATGTTTTTCCCACCATTAACATTATAACTATGTTCAATAACAAAAATCACGCGGTGTTTTCTGTTAATTCTACGGTGACTGGTACGAATTCATATTGATTGATGCATTTATCGTTTATTTTCGACTAAAATTCATTTTCAATACTTTTTTCAGAAACCGAACCAAAATTACGACACATGAATTCATATGCATTTATGATTCTAACTTACAAGCTGTGATACATATTAAAAATTCTTTGAATTTGTTATTGTCAGTAATTCCAGAATAAAAAGCTAAACATATTTTTAATGATAAATATTTTTTTCTGACACGTCGTTACGGAAAGTACGACTTTGCCACATGCTCAGAGAGAAACGTGCGCTTAAATTCGAGCTCTTCACACGTTGTTTTGAAAATCCGTAACTAACGTGTTCGGCAAAGAGATTCTCGGATCGTATACCTCTTGTAAACGTAAACCTCACACGAGACAAGAATCTACTTATTCGCACTATTTAGGTAATGTACTATTTCCTAATTTTTATTTATTATTCCAGGATAAATCTTTCAATCAATTTGAGCGTGAAAAATATTTATTTCAAATTAGTTTTATTATAAAGATAAGCGATATAGAAAAACAAAAACTTTATCAAGCAATAAACAATTTTATTTAATACAAACTATGGTACAAAATTTATACAGAAACAACGCATTATTCTTCTTTGTATAAAGACGTTGTATTCTTGCTCATGACAGCAGCTTCTCTTCGCGTTCAAGACACGTACACACGTAAGCAGAAGTGACATGGAGAGGAAAGTGGAGAATCACTAAAAAAGAGCACATCAATTTTCAATTAAACGAACTTGCTTGAATTACTAGCAACTAATCGCTTGGTAATCAAGAACAGAGTACATTCATACGCATCTCCGCTAGACATTATATTTTACATGTTCCGGTTTCAAAAAATACAAGATTCGGTCTTTTCTTTGCCTCCTGACAGTGCGCATTTTTGTGAACGTTGTGCAATGAAAAAACCAGAGCCTCGTCGTTGGCGAAGGAGAATAAACACTTTCATGAAAGTGTTTTTTTTTTTCACATCGCGTACAGTCTTATAAACGAGTAAGTAGATACGTATTTAATCTCTAAGCAACGATGATCAGATATTCTCAAAACTACGGCTCGAAAAGAGAAACGAAATGTTATTTCTTATTAACAACTTTCTAATTTAACCAATCAAGTTTCTAATTATAGGTTACTTGTCACTCGTCACTTTGACATCATTTATTATCCTCTATTTGTCGGAAATGTCACGCAATAATAAAATATATTTAGTCGTCGTTAAATGTGCTCGATTTATTGGGCACGTAGTGAAAATCACCAGGCGAGCTATAATAAAAAATTGGTCATCGATTCGGCGTTTTACCTTACGATTTTACTTTGAAAATATCTATAAATCTTTAATCAGTTTTTTTCTCGAAATAAAAGTGTTATACCGACGCGTATTAAAGCTTTTTACACGCACGAAAATTATGTCATATATATTGAATAATGATGATAGGGACAGGCTTTCAGCATAAGCAAACAGTGCACATCGATCATGAACGTTCAAATAAATCTGACAATAGAATTTTTTATTTTTTAATAGATTTGCATCTTATAATATTTATGTATTAATCATTAATCCTGTATTTATAGAACGTGATCATATAAATGATACAAGGTACTAATGAACCAGGAAAACTTTTTTTATGCTCGACATCGAATGTTCAAAGCCCATTATCTACTTATGTAAAATGCCTGAGAACGATACAATGACGGTAATGATATGTCTTGAAAAAATATCTCCGATGATATATAGTAGAAAAACTTATTTTTATTCACTTTTTTTAATGAGCAATAAGCACCCTCCAATTTTGTTTTCATGTTAAAGACTTGTACTTTTGGCTTTCGAGAATCACGAGATAATTCTGACGAGGCATTACTAAATGAGAAATTGCATCGCCAGCTCTAAAAGCAATCCTAACATTCACTCATACACAATTTTCAATTGTTCAAACGTTAATTATAATAAAACTATAATAGTGACATTACAAAATTTAGCGTGATATTTTTAACAAAACTATTACAGATAGAGACTGGGTAATTTTTTAATAAAAATCGCTCGAATCCGCTTCAGATCAAATTCAACGTTAGCTTTCAAGTAATGTCATAAATCATTTATTTGCGTGTAATAAAAGTATTACTTTTTTGATAACAGATTTTAATTATATTTAATATAAAAAACAAATTTTCAAATTTACAATAGAATTTTGAATTACTCAATTAAAAGTTCGTTTACTATTACTTGGTATTGAATTAAAATTCGAGCGATTTTTATGACTTTTATAGTCTTGACGTTTTTTTTTTATTTTTGCGTATATTTGAAAACGTTATTTTGCGTTAGGTCACGTACAAATACACACAAGTTTGAAGCACTTTCTCAGGCGCTTAGTTTGCTATAATCACATTACTCACTATAAATATCTAGTAGTATAGTTAAATGTGTCAATGATGTGTAGTGAACATCGCGGACGCATTTATCTTTCATATTCAACGCTCCGTGTGATTTTTCTCATTCCATGCCAATCAAAGATAAACACAAATCAGCGTTGTGAGGCTCAAACATTTACATTCACAGCCTGACTGAGTACTCACATTATTCTTTGATCGATCGTAATTCACTTATCGCATTTCCCTATTCACATTCCCATACAGCTTTTGTTTGTTTTTTTGCCAAAAAATTATAAATTTAGGAATTAATAATGTATTAATTCACTCGATGTACTTACATTCACTTAAATTCTTCATCGTTTAAGCAAACTGTCTATAATATTTGACCATCTTGACGGGCCACAAAATTACTTAGAATAAATTATAAACAACTCATCAGCAATTTGAAGAGCAGTGCTTTACAAATCATTGCAAATTTGATCGACATATTTAGCTTTTATTGAAGAATTATTTGTATTTTTTTGCAATTAGATTGCCATTGTATAAGTCAGTAAAATGGCAAGGTAACATATTTTGGCATGAAAATAGTTAACTAGAAATTATTTTCAATCTATACGTGAAAGGCATAGATTACATAAAAAATTGTTTATATAAAATCTTTCTTTTTCACAATAGTACAGTTTTATCAACAAACAGAATTAAATTAGACTCAATATGGAAGTAACGATTCTTCATTTTAAAATTCTTTTTAAAACATTTCTACACACAATCCAGCCTTTCAAAAATGTATATTAAAAATTGATGTGAGCGTAATCAACAGTCACTGATTAAATTGGCAATATTTAAAGAAATTTATTTGTCTTGTCGATATTAACGAACGTTGTTAAAAAAAGAGTTAATTTACAAAAAAAATATAAACATTTTTTCATCGATTTGAAACATACTTCACTTCTAAAAATCACTAATACATAAACATTTGACTTTGGTTAAATCAATACAACAGAAGAAAACGACTCAGCGATTTTAAAATCATTACCGGAGAAAAAAGAATAATTCGTTTAAAAACAGACCGCAAGAGACAAGTGTCCATTTTGAAACAAAAAAGAAAAATCCGCAAGACATCGTCGCTTCGCACAGTAAATCTAAACACGATAAACGTCCGTTAAAATAACTTAGTCTTATATGCATTATCGAGGAGATAGAGAGATCACACAATTTTTTTTCGAATAGCTCCCGACTCAACTACACGTACATATACATAGTAAACTTATTATATATATATATATCACTAGGTCAGCACGACCATTCACATGGTATTGTAAACGGGACTGCTATGCCTCGGCCTGACCTGCAGCCTGGCGAGCGGATGAGTACGGCCATGCTGCTGCTGTTTCTTGCTCGCTGCTTTGGCGACGACGCTGGCAACCACTTGGCTAGCCGACGGCACCGACGGTGGCCTTCCTGGAGCTTCGGTGTCGTACAACGATGCCGAGTGGTGATTGATGATCATTGGTGCCGAGCGACGTGCCAGATCTGGTGCAATCTTGGCCTTCGCAGGCGGATGTTCTACCGGATGGTCTTTGTTGTGATGGTGATGGTGACGATGATGGTGATGATGATGATGATGATGAGGGGTGCGGAGTTGAACCTCAGGCGTTCGCTTGATCTCGGGCTTGGCTACCTCGTACTTGCCCACGAGGACTCTGACCGACAAATCCTCGGCGCTGCTGCCCGAGGGAGGCTCGCTGCTTCGTTTGACGAAGGCCGAAGAGCGTGATTCGCATGCTTGGATCTTGGTCTCGTTATGCGGGATCACCGGCGACGAGGGCAAACTGCGAATCTTGACGTCCTTCTTTTGGCGCAGCGAGCAACTTTCATCAAGACTGCTAGCATCCGGACTTTTCTCTAGTTTGCTCGATGACTTGGCCTCGAATTCCTTTTTGAGATTCTTCACGATACCGTGCGTATTGCGCAGAGGAGCTTCCGATTCGGGTGAGTCGTCGATCATTACTGGAGCAGTCAAATTAGCTGGCGAGCGTTTGCTAAATATAGGCTTGTTGCAGAGATTTTCCAGGACCATTTTGTGATGCTTGACCGACGGGCACTGAGGGGTGTTGACCACACACGGACTCGAAGTTTCGCTCTCGGATTTGCAGCTACGCAAACTAACTGGAGTGAGCTCGGCGTCGGGAGACAAGGCCGAAGGTGCTGGCGCGCTGGTCGACAGTCTGCTGCAGCTCGTCTGGTGTGACGAGGCTGGCGAGATGTCAATCGGCGCCGCCGCGCTTGAAGTGCCGTGCGAGTCACTTGCAACGTTGATTCGACGTTCGCTGACCGGCGACGGAAGGTCTCTTCGTCGAGGAGTGGGCGAGGAGGTGAAGTGCAGTAGAACTGAATTGAATGGCTCTGTGGGGTTGTCGAGTTCGGTTTCGGCCGATGCAAGTCGCTCGGTGATTTTCTCTTCGGCCGGCGTCGGCTCGGATGTCTGCGTACAAACCCTTTTTGACGTGCCTGCAATAAAAAAAAAGTTCCATAACGAAAATACTCGCACGACTGGCTGTGCCAAATGCAACCGTACCCGTGGTCGAGCTTTCTTCGAGTTTTTGCTTGGTGCGCTTGACGGTGCCGGGATGCCAAGGGATTTCCTCCTTATCGTACGGGAAGAGTCCACTAGAACCGAGCGAGTCGCTGGGCCGCATGTCGTAAGAGCCCCAGGAACTGTTGCGCGAGGGCAAGGTAGCCCACGAACTATGCATCGAGTTATTGTCCATGACGACAGCGCTGTCATAGCTGCTCCACGAGCTTTGCCTGCTCGGTGACTCTCTGACCGTCTGCTGCTGTGGCTCGTGTTGCTCCTCGCGATCGAACACTCGATCCAGTTGCGCACTGAACGGGTCACCTTCCCTCTTTAGTTTGCGCGCTACCGTCGTCGAATCGTCTTCGACTTGCGCTTGCTGCTCAAAACCCACGCGACCGTTCGTGTAGATACACTTGACCTCTGCCGATGCGGTCCAGACTAGATAATTGCCATTGTTACCTGTAACAATAATTGTCAAATAGCCCCTAAATATCTTGACATCGTTCGATCGTACGCGCAGCCTGATGTAACCGTGTCACCAATGTTAATCATTTAATTCTGGTTGAATAAGCTTATTATGCGACCGCACCTCATCAGTTAATTTTCTTTATAATATATATAAAGGGTCTTCAGCCATGTATACGTGTGATTAAATAAAGAAACTTGTAAGCGAGGTAAATGAACGCTGAATCGTCTCACCTTCCTGTTGATTGTCGTTCAGCTCAGTCGTGGAGTCCGCGTGCCCATTTTCAACGATAGGACTAACTCCTTGTTGCTGCGACGACTTCCCACTACTGCCTTCACCGTCCGAACTACTCGGCGAGGATGGCTTACTGCTAGCTGCCTCAAATTGATTGGTGAGATTCAACACGAGTCCTTTGCGTTTCTGTCCTTGACTTCCACGCGTGTGCCTGCACGAGGTTTTGTTGTTACTGCTGTTGCTGTTGCTGTTGCTGCTGTTGATTTTGGAGGTGGTGTCCGGACCGGGCAAGTGGACAACTTGATTTTGCGAGACGCTGTACGACTGACCGTTGTCGCAGGGCATCAGCACGTTACGTGACTCTTGCTGCTCGAGTCCACTGGGCTTCGGGTTGGAGCCGCGCAGCAGCTCTTCGCGAGTCACCTCGGGATTTGCTGATTTGTCGATGCTCTCCAGGGACTGCGATAGTGGAGCTAAACAAAGTGCGTCCCCAATAAATCACTGCTGCTATCAAGGGATCAACGATTGAGCGAAGGCTCGGCTGAAAAGAGGCAAAGACCAACCTGTCGGAAGAACGTCCTCGGTAATCTGGACGTTGGGCGACCAGCTTTTGGGCCGCTGCCCAATCTTCTTGAGCTCGGCGCCCGACTGCTCGATCACACTGTCATCCGTATCGTCGACCCGATCGCCCGCCTTCTCCTCCTTCTTGGCGCACTCCTTGCCCGTCGGCGATTTCAGGTTGGTGTCGGACTTGGACCTCTGCAGCTTCTCCTTGTTCTTCATGGCGTCGAGTATGCCTTGATAGGTCTCCAGTTGCAGCAGGAAGCTGCTGTTGGGCTTGATGCAGTTGCGCTTGTTTTTCACGTGGCTGAGTGCCTGCGAGAAGTCCCAATTGTAGGCCTTCATCGCGTAAGCAATGACCACCGAAGCCGAGCGCGAAACGCCCATCTTGCAGTGCACGAGCACCTTCGAGCCCTCCTTCTTAGCTTTGGTTATGTACTTGAACGTATCGTCCCAGTGCTTCAGCAGGTCCGTTTTCTCGTCGTCGTATACCCGCACGTTCAGGTAGTTGAACATGCCCGGGAAGAAATTGTCGATCTCCCGTGTGACGTTCAGTATATGTCTCACACTGAAATAAAAGCAATGCTCGATTAACGCCGGCCTCGTATTATTTAATGAACCGCGTCGATCGTTGCTTGTTTTGCTATTTATTGGCAGTTCTGCACTGCGCACCTACCCGTTCTTTTGTAATTCCTCTAAATTACTGGCATTCCACTCGCTGCCGAGATAAACGTGGTCAAATATCTCGGTGGGCGCATCCATTTGGCCAAGAATGGTAAGCATCTCCTGGTCAATGAAGGGCTTGAATTCGCCAAGATCCATGTCCAGGTCTTCTTCAAGCCGCGTCCTTATGTATTTTGATGTGACCTCATCAAGATCCACCGACATCATTATCTCTTTCAGCGTCGAACGAATCACTTGCTCCGTCTCGGCTCTTTCTCTTGGTCTAAAAAATTAATTGTTTTTATTGATATGCATACTTTGTGCCCAACGCTATTTAGCCCTTCAACACTGCATTTTTTTAATTAAATCTACAAAACTTTTGGCTAGTCGTCGTGATTTTCATTAAATAAGCTATTAATAGTTTGATTTGTTGGATAATTTGTCATGAGAAACTAAATGAATTAATAATATTAATAGGAAGCAATGAATATATACCCGGAATGAATTTTTCTTTTCAGTTGGCTGTCTACCAATACACGTAAAAATAATATAAGGTTTATTAAATAGAATTTGATTATAAAAAGCAGAGCAACGAGAAAGAATGAAAAAACATTCGGCAATCGATTCCAAAAAAGGCATCTCTCTCAACGCGCCGCGTCAAAGTTAAATTTAATCCTTCTCGACGGCAAAACTCACGACGAGTATCTCTAAGAGTTTTGCAGTGCCGCTTGTCGAGCGAGGAAAAAGCAAAATTTTTGGCCGCAACTCGTGAAGGAGACGAGAGAGAGAGACAGAGAGAGAGAGAGAAATAGCGAGGGGGAGGGAGATGAACTTGCCGCGCAAAACCTGGAAATAATTGCAAGGACAGCTATAAAGATTCGCCGTAGCGTCAACAAACGTTTAGCTGGCGCCAAGCCAAGTTAAATCCAAGAGGTTTTCTCTCCCGAGTGGCTTGAAGCGTTTGGCAGAAGGTGAGAAATCTTTTACGGAGGCTGTGCACCTTTTCGAACCTGCTGCTCGCAATGATGCAGCGAGAAATCTTTTTATCCGATTACGATGAGAAGCAGGATTGATATAATTTTCGGACTTGAGAGGATTACCTACGGTTGAGCTGACTTTTATTACGGCTTTTTACTTAATCATGAAGCATGCTCGTAGAATGTTTTATAAAGGCATATATTTCGTTCGGAAACTCGAGATACCAACGGCTTTTTTATTTTACTGGAATGGAAAATCTCAATAAGGAAATGATTAGTTGATGAAGGTGCAATATTTTTGGTAGATCTCCAAACTATTCGTCTTTCTAGAAAACTCATCAAAAACTTGACAATGCTATGGAGAGTAGCTGGAGCGAGCTTTTTAAAAAATTGCGCGTCTACAGAATTGCGACCGAAAAGGCTTACGAAGTAGTAAAGGAATTTGATATGACGTTTGTAAACTATTGATACAAAATAAATAGGATTTGCATACGTACAACTGGAATTGTTGAATCAACTACACAGAAAGTATTTAACATACTCGCATTCGCCGATAAACTGTTGAAATGTTGAAATGTAAGTCAGGAAACTTACTTATTTCGCACGCTGTCAGGGGATGGCGGCCTTCGGGACTCGAGGTTGTCCATCGCGTGCCACTCGTTAAGGCACGAGCGATCGCTCTCGATCCTTTGCTCATAGTAGCTCACCCAATCGTGCGACAGTCCACCGAGGAAGTAGTTGTGCTCGCGCGCTTTGCTCGATACCTTGTGCAACGTCTGCAGCGCCGACCTGAAACAGAACAGACACCAGAAACGTTAGAACAAGCTTCATCGGTCTTCGGTCTTCGTGAGTTTGTGTGAGGCTCTAAGAGCTGTGATTATTATTTCCTACGCAGTATATAAATAGACATTAAATTTCATTTGATTAAAATATCTACTGCGTACGTTTTATAATTGTGAGGGGATGTGCTACCCACTAATATATCATACGTATTTACGTGTAGGTTCTACGTAGATACAACGTATACAGGGAGATCTATGTCCAATCACCCTCAATGAATCTAATTATTGAACGTCAATACATACAAATCTTTCTTAAAGTTGTCGAAATGATGATTGCCATCCTCTCGGTCCGTCAAAATATTGACTCTAGCATTCATCTTTCATTCGCAAATCAAAGCTATTCGCTCGTTTCTTTGGGCAAACATAAATTATTTATTCATGAGTATAGCCGTGTATACGACAAATGAGTGTATAAAGCATGCCTGTCATACAATACGCCGAAAATAAATACGGCAGCGCAGTATTTCAATAGCAACGACACCTCCGATATTCGCAGTCTGGGATCGAGCGAGTGTCGTAATTTACGAAAAGCCACAGTGTGCCCGTACGCATTCACGCGCGCAAGCCAAATATTAATTTTCGCTACTCCCCACCCTTGACTGCTCTTGCAGCTCCGTAAATCTCGTTTGCTCTCTCTCTCTCTCTCTCTCTTCACCGAAGGCAGGGAGAGACGAAACGTCGCGTCATCGTGAATTGGGTAGTTGCGCAACTGCTCGAGAGACACGGACGAAGTCAAAGCCACACGATCGCACTCGCTTTAATGAGGGTGCATTGAACGACCATTTTTCTTTTTATGTAAGCTTGAACATACACCGAGCGCCGCCGACGTTTTTTTTTCTTCTCTCGATTGAATAGCAAGAGTCGCGAGTTCCCCCCTCTTGCTGCGATGTCGATCACACACGCAGTGCGCCGTGGCGCTCGCAAAAAAATCCAAATCCAATAATCATTAGATTAACAACTTTGTGTGGCAATCCACAATTTCCAGAAGCAGCATCCCGTCAATCTGCAACTTTCGCGCTGCGTATCTTCCCTCTTTCCCACGTAATCCTTTGAGCTGCTGGATAATTAGCAGCGTTTGGGAAATGAGCCGCCAATCGATTACTCAATTTCGACGGGTTAGCCAATTTGTAAGACTTTGGTTGCAGCCGTCTCTTATTTATATGTATTGTATAGAACGGTTCGTTCAGGGGGAGAGGGATTTATTTGGATGGAAAGGAACGAACGTCGTGACTCTAGTTAAAGAACCATTAAAGACTTTCAATGGAATGCGGATTAATTCATTGTTTTTTTGTTGGAATGCAATTTCAGTGCGCAAGCCAGAGAACGCAGCAGTAAAATTGCTTTCGGTTCTTTCTCGTGCGGATGGCGTTATATGACCGCTGTTGGCAGCGTGTAACAATTCTTTTTTCTTTCGTTGTTTCTTTTTTTCGCAACTAGAAAATTTCAATTACTAACTTTCTAATATACGCGGTTTCAATAGAAGAGGCTACTGCAATTGTAGACTGAATTTTTATGATACTATTTGAAGGCAAATGTTTTTTATATGAGCGTTTTTTAATAAAAATTGTTGGAATTGAATCACAAAAGTTTCATGAGACCTATGCATTGCTCGGTAAGTTATTCAAAGTTATTGAAAGGTGAAGCTAAGCTGCCCCTTAATAATCACTTTTCATCCTCAAAGTTGAGTGATTCGGCGCTTGTATTTCCTCAATATAACCAATACAACTAACAGCCACTTCCTTCTTTTCTCGCGTAAACTTCACACTCCAAATATATATTCTCGTTTGTTACGATTACTTTGAAATTTACGAGGCGGAAAGCTTTGCGCAATAGATCATATCGATAGATCGAGAATTTATGAAACGGATAATCATCGCGAAACTGAATAGGGCGAAAAGTGATCGTTGTAACAGTGATAGACCGCAGCGGTAGGCAAGATACGAATGTAGTATTTCGCATGTAAGGAGCCTTATGGGAACACACGCGCACATGCTCAGCATTGCCGAGGACAAATTGATATGCAAGTCAGATTATCGTTCATGCAATCAAGCTTGAATCGGCGTCTAATTAGGGTAATCCCGGTGAGATATCAGTTCATCGCTGTGATGAAAGAGAGGATTTCCTTATGTGCGGTGAGCCCCCCCCCCCTCCTATAATCAGAATCCGGTTCGATAGCCAAACGCTCGTAACCTTGCGACAAACAAACAAAAAGCCACGGCTTTACCCTTTCGTCACTTACATCCGTGCAGTTTGTGTTTTCGTTGTGCAAAAAATATTCTTTTTTCAGCTGATTCAATGACAATCCGGTGCTGGGAGAAGCGAAATGATGCAATATAACAAAGCAATCGAGAAGTTAATCAGCCAATCATGGCGCCGTGTTCAAAGATGATTGCTCGTTATTTCAGTTGCAATGGGACATGCCTGGGAAAATGGAAAGTTACGCGTATCGATTTAATTATTGTTCATAGCAGAGAAGTCTCTCGAATCCGATATTTTTTGAAGCCACACATAATGAGCTGATCGGAGAAAGTTTTGCGAGTAAGTGCGCCACGTAAGAATATTTTGTATTTTTTAATAGCGAGATGGTGCATAGCTTGCAAACATATATTTAAGTGAACGGTGGTAAAAATCACCCGAGGTAGTTGAAGATTACAAAACAACGCGCTCACGAACTCTTTTCACCAACGTTGTTGTCTCGTGAAATAAATCCAGTCCCTTTCGAAGGCAGCGAGAATAATTCACGGCGAGTCGCATTAAAGACCGTCCCGCGTATTTTCGAACGACTTAATTCGCGTCGTTAAAATAAAGAAAATACACCTTTGACCGTGGCTCAAATCTACACACGAACACAAACTTATCGTCTGCGTGAATCTTTGGCGGTCTTTTATATCGGCTCGTAAAATAGATTTCGCGCCCACGCGCGCACACATTGATATTTTTTCCTACGCGAGGTATAAATAGCAAGCAAGAGAATATGCGATAGTCTAGTGAAGAGAGAGAGAGAGAGAGAGAGAGAGAGAGAGAGAGAGAGAGAGAGAGAGAGAGAAGATGAACTATGGAATGTAGGCGTTGAAAAATGGGGAGTAATAAGGTATGGCCGAAACGAATGTTAAGGGTGAGAGAGAACGAAATGCACCTTGGTATGCCACGTACGTACGTTGGGACTGTATTCACGAGTTGGCTTTTTGAGATTCACCGATACAAGTGCACGCTTTTATGACTTATACGCACCGTCTGCGTGGGATTCGTATGCTGCTCGCGAGAAAACACTGAATATTAAATTTCATGTTGTTTCCGAGAAACAGGTGAGTCTGCGACGTCTGAGAGCATTCGAAGCGAAAGCTTCTTTCGCCATATTTATTATTGCATTCATCTTGTTGGAAAAAATCAGGAATCGCTCGCCATCGATTCGACTGTTGGCTCATAAATCTACAAAAGTCTGAATAAATCATCTCTCGATCTTGGACTAGAACGAAAGAAAAAGAATATTTTCGGCCGACTAGTGTGTTGGTCCGGTTCGGCGTGATGCATATTTTTGTTATGCCGGCGTTGTGATCGAACCGCGAGTGAGAAACAAAGGGGAAATCGGTATCGCGGGGTGATCGTACCGGGACGAATGTTTCGGTTGATAAATCAAGGAGAGGAGGGAGGGAATAGTGGGCGTCCTTGGTCCCAACGCGAGAATAACGAGGAATGTGAAAAAGCGAGCGCGATTCCGAAGAGCCGCGTGCTACCGACGTGTTTCCCCTTTGTATTGGATGGCGACCACGTGAGAAAGTTGGCCGCTTGAATTTAATGAAAATACTTTTTTGCGCGATATTCGCCCAAATTTGCATGCTATCGAGATTGTCTACCGCTCTTTTTCTCCATTTAGCCGGCAATAAAAAGCAGATATTCGACAGTGATCGAAGGTAATGCTTTTGCTCGATTCAATTTTCCCTTATACTTGCGCGAGTGCGCTCGAGCGCATAAGCGCTTTCTCTCGCAAATCTAGCGAGAAAGCCTTTCTTTTCGTTGTAGCAACAGCAAGGATGTATCGGTGAACCATATCGATCGATGCCGTGGTGTGTACGTGCGTGCGCGCGCGCGCGTGTGTGAGGCTGCTATGCAAACGATGCACGATAAAGCCGTTGTATTTCTCCTCGCGCTATTGCACATGCCAGTCAGATATGCTGATCGGAGTAGTGTACGCGAGTCTGCTTTTTTTCATCTAAAAGTCATAACTTCTTTTTGGCGAATAACGATGTCATCGAGGAAGATGTTAATTAAGATGACGGCGTGAACAGAGAACAAACATCGTAACGGAGAAAACGCGTGGGTGAGACTTTGCTAATTGAATCTGAGAAAAACTTTCTCTCGATGTTCATCGGCTGTCAATCAAATGTAGGCGACCGACAACTCCATATCCTCACCGTTAGCTTCATTCCAACGAATGTTACACGTACAGCCGCGAGCGGTATGTGCTCTCGAAATCTAGTACAGCAGGTGTCACTTAGAAAACACGCCGAGAATTCGATTATGCGCAAGCGCAATGTATATATAGACACTGTGCGCGTAACGAGAGGCGAATTATCGCTCAACCGATAAACGGTGCGTGCCCGCGTCGAAGAGGTGTAGAATGGAACAAAGAGTAACATTAATTGGCTTATATCGAAAAACCCGTGCGTTTTTCGATACACGCGAAAAAACGAATTGATTTTCAGCTGTCGAAAAAAGGTTCTTGGTTGCGACGAAAAATAGACATCAGCTCAGTTTCTTTGGCGTAGCAGCGAAAAAACAAAATATATATGTAGATACTTCCGATGATAACTGGCAGATTGATATTTCTCGCACTAGTCTATTATTGGATTGCGCGTACGTCTTTATTTTGCGCGAGTTTAGCTAGTGTGAATTCATGAAAAATCAATCTGATGAATACGAGTGCATTGATCGAACGTTAGTGAAATG